AAAATCATATTGCTAACCGTATTTACGTCGGTAAATTCATGAGAATTTTGGAAAGTTGTAAATAAAATGAACAATAAATACCGAGCGATTTCGTAATGCTCTTTATCATGTCGATTGCGTTAGTTTAAAATACTAACTTCCATTTCTAAAAACGTAAATGTATTTAAAACGCTTTTCCCCCACAAGACAGTTTAGAAAGGTACATATTTGAAGAAATATATCTATTTAATGTACTACCGCTTGCAAACGTCAATTACTTTAGAAAAGATATATAAAACTGGCGTTACGTACAGAAGTTGATTACGTTTTTCAAGGTATTTTTAATGATCGAACTTCAAACGTAGCGTCCGTAGAAAAAAAAAACTGATAATCATGAAGATGGCTTGTGTTTACGAATGTTTTTAATACTTTGTTTGAGTAAGCTTGCAGTTAATTTTATAGTAACCATGTGTAATGAATATACGGGGTTAGTTTATATTTGAACATTTTTAATGGTGATGCTGAACAGTTCTGTCATATCATATGAGCTTCGGTATATAGAATATATGGCTAAATGAAACAACTGTAGATCAAAATTTGCATGCTCAGCCCATGAAGTCACAGGTGAAAGAGAAGGCGAATTAAAAAAAGGAGGTCTCAGCATAAAATTGCCCATCCATTTTTTTTATCGTGTAAATTACATTTTAATATATTTTTGTCTTTAATCAATTACTGCTTTTAAAACAATAAACCAAAATATAATTTTTTTTCTTTGCTGTCACATTTGAAACAAGAATGTGCATATATACATGCTTAGAGAGTGCTCTTTGAGATGTGATTCAATTTTCCGGACGATTCATTTATCCGGACGAGTTCGTTGGGGACAGAGGCGTCCGGATAAACGAGGCGCCACTGTATATGTCATTATATAATATCTCATCTGTGAACTCTTGAATGTTTTACTGCTCCAGTATAATTAAGATATGACCTCAGAGCTAATATGAGGCCTTTAAAGAGGTACAAGACTTCATAACAAAATGGACAAAATTTCATAATAAAATTGACGACTTTCTCAGAATTCAGATGATAGTTTTTATACCCCCCGCAAACGAGGTTTAGGGGGGTATATAGGAATCAGCTTGTCCGTCTGTCTGTCTGTCCGTCTGTCTGTAGACGAGATTTTGTCCAGACCATTTCTTGGAAACAGTTGCAAGGATTTGTCTGAAAATTTGTACACTTATTCTTTCCATATGAAGGTGTGCACCTGGTATTTTTTTTTGCATTTTACAGGTGTTTTTTTTTTTCATTTTTATTATGTGGTTTTGTCCAGATCTGTTCCCAGAGACTATTGCATAGATTTGTATGAAAATTTGTACACTTATTATTTACCATATGAAGATGTGCACCTGGTATTTTCAACATTATTTGATAATTTTTCTGCATTTTACAGGTGTTTTTTTTTTCATTTTTATTGACTTAGTCATTTCAGGTTCATGTCTAAGATTTGAGACATAGAATCTAGAACATTTGTACAAAAATGTGAATTACAGCTTAAAACTACTCATTAGAACTAAAAAAAAATCACAAAGTATTAAAAAAAGTTTTTACATTACACAGCAGATAGTGTAAATCCATTTGTCCCTTGGGAGTAATGAGTGGACATGCATCCAGTTAAAGATTAATTAATGAGTTCAGTGTGGGAAGCTGTTAGGGCATCTCTGATCAAGCAGGTCTTATCTATATCTCCTGGGAATTGGGCAGAAAGAAATAAAGATCTCTGTTGTCTAAGTCTCTTAATTGTAATTTATGTCTGTCAAAATACATGGTTACTGGAACCAGCCTTTAATTTTTAAAATGAGTTTGATATAAAGGTATTGAGATCAATTTGATTTTGTATAATCAATTATGATATTTTTTTTTTCAACAATCAATTTGCAGAGTGTCATGTCTCACAAAGATGACAGATAGTTGCAAACTATTTTTTCAATGGAATAAAAAAACACTGTAATTACTAGTATTGATGTTTTATTAGGCTGCACCTTAGTTTCATTCATTAAAAAAAAATATAATGAGTAATTAAATTTTCACTCTAAATGTTTAAGCAAATTGTGAACACCTCTCACATCTAGAAAACATTAGTGATTTGGTGCCTTCTCTGAAAAACCCAGTGGGGGGTATTTGTCCCTTTTGGACAGTTCTAGTTAATACATTAATTATATGAAAATGTCATTAAATATTGAATTCCTAATGGGAACATCATTACAAAATTATGATACTTATCAACTTATACTCTTCTTTTGCAGATTCAAGCTTTTTCAATTCTAAATCTCAAGTCTTCTGATGGAATCAGATGGGTTCCAAGTGTAGATTGATAAGAATATGTAGGAAAAATCTAAAGAAAAAATTCTTTCTCTCCCCCCCCCTTTTTTTTTGCAAAGTTATAATAGGGAATGTTTGTTATAGTAGCTACATACATGTATAAACGCTTGGGTGGCTGTTAAGGCCCATTAAGATTGCATTATAATGTGTTGGTAAGTAATTTGTATAGTCAACCAGACATTTTTTCTCTGGATCTGGTTATGTAACTTGCGAAGTTTCCCTATTGCTGTCTCGCTTGATGATAAAGTACAATACTCTGTCATCTTGAATAGGCAGCAACATCAACTTCTTCCTTCACACCAAAAACTTAACTATTAAGGCATTTGGGTCGAGTGAAGAATACATTTTCATAACAAGTATATTTTGGAAAACTGAAAAAGACAAAGTATCTAACAGCCAAGTTAGATTTTACAGGACATGTGATTGGTTGTCAATACTAACAGGGGTGGGAAACTCTATTGATTTTCAAGGTGACCTCTTCTGTAAATGTTGTAGGTATAATCCCAGTGCTAGCGTTGTGGTGGCAGCCCCAAAGAAGATTAAGGTTGGTCGTGAGCTGCAGCTGCCGTCCATGTCTTTGCTGACCAGTAAAACGTCCAGTCAGCAGTTCTTCTTACGCATTCTGAAGGTCATTATTCAGCTGAGAGATGCAGCTAAAACACAGGCCAAAAGAACTGCTAGGAGGGGTGGTAAGAAGGCTGTTTAATGACTTTGATTTTTAGAAACCAGTTAACCTTTATTGAATATAGGTTTTGAGTAGATTTGTTCACGGAGAGCATATTATATGTTGAACTTCTGCGATATAGTCATGTACTTGGTAGTCTAATGAATTTCACTATTAAATACAGAGCAAGACTTGAGTAGTCTAATGAATCTCATTATTAAATACAGAGCGAGACTTGAGTAGCATCACGGAAGCCATGGCAGCCTTAGAAGCGGAGGCAGAAGCCATCATGGAGATGGTGGGAAGGAGGTCTGAACAGCAGAACCAGGCCAGACAGCAACAGGTACATACATAACAAAAAATGTATTAATGGGGCCAATTTATTCTAAATACTGTATGTTTACTTCAAAAAGCAGGCTTCGAATTTTAAGGACTTTGGCATGGACAACAATGCACTAATTCACGAATACCACTAAAAAATCATAAATACAATACATGGCACGGAAATGTGCAGCGCTAATTCATGATTACCCAACAACTCCCTACTCAGTGATTGCGTTAAATTTTGAATATGCCAATTTATGTACACGTACAGTACATTCTGTATGATAGAGAAAACTTTATGAATAAATATTCCCACTTGAAAAAGGATTCTCAAAACTCCTAGAATTTTATACTAGATATTCTTTAAGAAAAATATTACATTTATGGCTTAAATTTTACACATGGAAACATTTTAAGATATTTGTTTAAAAATATATGTCTTAATTCATAAACATATACACTGTAAATAATTTTGAATTTTTCTGTATACTGAAGTAGCACCATTTTGCTACCTTTTTCAGTGAAAGAAAGATTTCTCTTTTGTTTAGATGTATGTTAAGACCTCTGTTTATCTTGTTTCTCATTGATTATTTACAGGAAGCGACTGGGAGGAGTGGATCCACAGAACAGGGTAATGAGGGGCCACAGGAGGGGCAGCAGGGAGGGGCTGACAACCCACCACCCCCTGTGGATGGAAATCCAGACTCCCCAATGGATGTGGATCAACCAGGTATGAACACAAAATCCAAGATACTGAAGATCACCAAATATTCGCGACACGTTATTTTCACAAGATGGGTAAATGGCTCTTATGAGCAAGAAAAAATTTTCATGAATTCTGACGATTGTCCTATATAACCTTTACTAATAACTAATTAAAATTACAAATGAGAAGGAAAATTTGGCGAGGAGACTCTCTCCTTTAATTATGCGAAAATAAAGTTCTCACGAATAAAAAGTGATTTACAGTATATATCATTTTACCATATACTCTTTTTAAAAGGTGGCTTTTGTAGATGAGTTTGATTGAAATTGGCAAAACAGTAATTAGTTAAAGTATATCATTTAGTAAGTAAGTAATGTTCTGGTTCCCTTAGATCAGACATATTTTTTTAGGCAAAGCATACAAAAATTTTATTGCCTACAAATTGTTTTTGCAGGCCCCTCTACAACTCCACAGGAGAAGACAGAGGAGGTAGCCCCTCCCCAGCAGTCTCTGAGTGAACAGCTGGGCCTGGATGATTTGTGGAACACCCTGGGAGAGTGTTTGACAGAACTGGCTAAGACCCCGGATCATCATGCAGTTCTTATTTTACAGCCCGCTGTGGAAGCCTTCTTTATTGTACATGCTGGTAAGGAGACAGGTCTATGATTTTAAGTCCATATACATGTAGATTAGTCTAGTGTTTCAAATTGCAAGGCATTAAATTGAATTTGTTTTCAATGAGGAGTTGAAAGTTAATGAACAAAAACAAAATACTATTGCTTTGATTTGATTGGTATTGACTGAGGTTTTAGGTTGGTCCCCTTTGCCCCACATCAGGCAATATTTCATCCCTTGGGGGCTACTATTATCAATGTTGCCCTCCATCACAGTCAATATTTGTATTATGTTATTGTAAATGTATATACAGTGTACATGTACCGGCTGTCAGTAATGATGATTTCAACAACAATGATCATTCATGAATATTATTACAATCCTCTAAGAAGTACTGAACTGACAAATGCAGAGTATTACCTGAATTAAATGTCCCTGCTAATTTTGTAAGAATTTGATTATTTTTGGAAATATTTACATGATTTATAAAAAAAGTGATTGCTTTGTAGGAGAAAAAGATGGAAAATCCCAGGAACAGAGGTCACAAAGAAGAGAAGACCAGTTAGCCCACCTGAACATGGACCTGGCCCCTGCGTCTCCAGCAGCCCCTGGCAGTGAAACTCCTGCCCCGGTCCAGAGGGATGGGTCAATAACATCTGTGTCATCCCTTACAACTCTTCCACCAGATACGCAAAAGTTCCTCAGATTTGCTGGTGAGATGTTCTAATAGACATTACTTGGGCAGATAATAATTATAACTGTTTATTTAATCTTGTGACCAATTTATGATTTGAAACTTCTTTTTCAGAGTCATGTTGAAATTCTGAATACATGTACATAGTAGTGTTTTAAGAGTATTTAAAACCCTATACAAAATTTAAAGTTATTGAATGAAATTTTTATTTGAATGTTTGTATAGAGACACACAGAACAGTTCTGAACCAGATACTTCGACAGTCCACTACGCCTCTTTCTGATGGGCCGTTCTCAGTGTTGGTAGACCACACACGTATTCTGGACTTTGATGTCAAGCGTCGTTACTTCAGGCAGGAGTTGGAGCGAATGGATGAGGGAATGAGGAAGGAAGATTTGGCTGTTCACGTTAAGAGAGAACACGTGTTTGAAGATTCATTTAGAGAGCTGTTCAGGCGCACAGCTGATGAATGGAAGCATAGATTCTACATTGTGTTTGAAGGTAGGTTCCTGTTGAATCGCCAGTTGTTTTGTTGCAAGTGTTAATATGTACACATAAGAAATGGTCAGTAGATTATGAGTTGACATTGCCTTCAATGTTCAGGTGAAGAAGGACAGGATGCTGGCGGCTTACTGAGGGAATGGTACATCATTATTTCCCGGGAAATCTTCAATCCTATGTATGCCCTGTTCAGGACCTCCCCAGGAGACAGAGTCACCTATGCCATCAACCCCTCGTCTCACTGTAACAGTAACCATCTCAGCTATTATAAGTTTGTGGGTCGCATCATTGCCAAGGCTGTGTACGATAATAAACTCTTGGATTGCTACTTCACCAGGTCCTTCTACAAACATATCATTGGACAGCCTGTCAAGTGAGTAAAATGTAGGAGAATATCTGATACAGTAGTTTGTAATGGTCTTGGAAGCTACATGGATGTGAAGATATAAAATAACCCATGAAATTCTGACAGATAATGAATGTTGATAAGCACATGATGATTGCCTCTTCAGTCTTGTAAAGTTGATTAAAGCTTGCTATAAACATACAATATATTTTCATGCCAAAAAATTCAAACTTTGAATACTATTTTTTACGTATTTAATGTAGACAAACTTATACTTACAGGTATACAGACATGGAAAGTGAAGACTACTCTTTTTATCAAGGATTAGTTTTCTTAATGGAAAATGATGTGGCAGATCTTGGATATGATCTGACATTTAGTACAGAGGTAATCCTCAGATTCTGTGTTGTCTATATATACATGTACATATGCATTATATCAAGGTGTCAGAGAAATTCACAGTAGTCCCTTGGTTTACTGCAGAACAGGCTAGCTCATCGGAAATTACATGTACATTGATATAAAATATATATGTAACATTGAAATGTATACTGTCAAGATAATTGAATTTATGGATTTATTTTTATGCAGATTATGGAATTTGGAGTCACAGAAAGTAGGGATCTGAAACCTGGTGGAAGAAACATTTCAGTAAATGAGGAAAACAAGAAGGAGTATGTAAAGTTAGTGTGTCAGATGAAAATGACCGGAGCCATTAGACAACAGCTGAACGCTTTCATGGAGGGCTTCTATGACATCATCCCCAAGCGCCTTATCTCAATATTCAATGAGCAGGAACTAGAACTGCTGATCTCTGGGCTACCCACTATTGACATCGACGATCTGAAAGCTAATACTGAGTATCACAAATACCAGGCTACTTCACTTCAGGTAAGCACAGAGTCGCAGGAATTTATAAAAGTGTAATTTTATTAATTGACATTTATTTTGGAGATTGATTTAAAGGAAGGAGGAAATAAAATGTACATCTGATGATCAGGAGAAAATTTAGAAGGTACTTAGTTATTAATTAACTAAAAGCTTAAATTTATTTTGTTCAAAATTGTATGAGGTTGTCATGCAGACTTTGTGTTGATAATGCAAATTATGAGTTAACTCTTGGGGTAACAAGAAGTCTCGTCTTAGATATAGATGTAGTACAAGACGTAATTTCTGCATCAGTATTATGGCTGGTTCATAAAATTTAACACAAAAATTTACAAATTTCTAAAATTTTGGAATCCTCTCCCTGCGTGAAAATGGTAATTATTATTTTAAAAAAGATCAGATAAATTTTTTTCAACCACTTAAATTGTTTGCATATATTTAGATTAGTATAAAAGACTTTTGTGTTCATTGTGAAAGTAACATAATGACCTCCACATTTTGCAGGTTCAGTGGTTCTGGCGTGCCCTGCGGTCATTTGACCAAAAGGACAGAGCCCAGTTCCTACAGTTCGTGACTGGAACATCCAAGGTCCCCCTGCAAGGATTTGCTTACTTGGAGGGAATGAATGGGTTCCAGAAATTCCAGATCCACCGAGACGACAGGTCTACTGACAGACTGCCTGTAGCTCACACTTGGTAAGATTTATTGTCCAGTAGTTTGCTTTCTTGGGACCAAGAAAATACAAGATGTCCGAGAATTTGAGATATCTGGGTAAAATACTTGAGAAATAAGAGCTTGGGACTCAAAAACACTTCAACATATCCATAGTCTTCAAGATATTCATGTTCGAGATGCCAAAGTTCAACTTCATTAATTTATCATATGCTTCAATGTGAAATTCTTAAAAATTTAAAACGAGATGAGCCATCATCTGGGGGTGGGGTGGGGTGGGGTGGGGGGGGGGGGGGGGCGGAAGTTTAAAGATAAAAAAGAAAGGGTTGTAAATTTGAAATTTCTCTTACCTGTATTTTTTTGTTTGTTTTGAACTTTGCTAATTTAAAAATAGGAACATTTTAACTACATGTAATTTTGATCAAACAAAACCTATAAAAATTTGTGTACATGTGTAAGTTTTGTTAAGTTTGTTCTTGTTTAGATTAGTGTGATATTTGTAATGTGCTTGATTTCAAATGCTGTAATTAAAAAGATGATATAATGAATTAATATAATGATTAATTTTGTTACAGCTTTAACCAGTTAGATTTACCAGCTTATGAAACATATGACAAACTGAAGAGAATGTTGCTCCTGGCAATCAACGAATGTTCTGAGGGATTCGGACTGGCATAAAATGTCCAAGAAGGAGGACTGAACAACTCATGAGAGTCGATTTATTGTGCAAGATAAAAATCACACATGGATCCTTAGATCTTATGTTACCAAATGACTGACTTGTGTTACAAAATACGCAGCCAGATATACTGTAGTGTAAGCCAGGTTGAAGTTTGTAATCTCAATAAACATGCTTTATGAATTATGGATGGAGGTGCTTACTGGGCTTTATATATTACAATGTGTTAAATATTTGTCATACATTCATGTAGTTAAAAAATCTAGTGTCTGAATGATGTGAGAGGTTGAAATTAATGAAACAGGGGTCTGAGAGGTGTTGTTCTGAATTTTTGACTGGTGATGTTAATAGAGTACAAGAAAATGCTGTAAGAGTTCTTTTTATGTGATATATATACATATTATGGGTAATATAATAAGCTGCTACTATTGTCATTAGACAGGCAGAACTTGTTGGAAACTTTTATTGACTTTAAATATAAAAGAGAATTTAATTGAATGACAGTTACTGATACACTGGTTATAGAAACTGAACAAGACGAGCATTGATTGGAAATTCACTCTATTCCTGTTCAGAATGATCAAACTGTAGCAAATGGAATTCCAGAACGTGATATTAATCATGAGGATTTGCTCTTTCATTTGTTGTTTTCTGTATTGTAAATAGTATAAAATACTTTGTTCTTATAGTGTTATTTATTAAATCATTGAGGGAGGAAAGGATTAAAGAAGAATGTGTTGATCATTCAGAAAGTTTAGACAACATAATAAAGAGCATGGGGTTATTTGTAATTTGTTCTCACATTTTTGTGTAATACACAGTTTTCAATGATGGAATATATCTTTATATCACATTTGTTACTTTCTATGTCCATGATGAATAAAATCTCAGCCAAAATTATGTAAAGGTTTTTTTTCCTATGTTTTATAATTAGGGCCCTGCTCTGTGGGTAGAGGTTGTGCAGTGACCTTGAACCAATTTTCTTGATCAAAAATCAAGTTAAAAAACTCTGTAAAATCCTTGTCCGTAGCATTTTTTTCTCTCCCCTTGGCCCAGTTGGGCTCATGTGTCACCCAGAGAGGGTCGGTGGGTAGAGGGTATGCAGTGACTTTAACTGTTTTTTTATAGATCAACAGCGGAGTAGCGGAGCGCTACTCGTACATTAACCCTTAAAAGTAATGGAGCCGAGTTCGGGGCCGAGGCCCATTGCTTTTAAGGATTTGAGCGCTATGAGTATTTTAACCCGCGTAAAGTCCACCTTTTTAAATGCTTGTAATTATTGTTTGTTAATATATAATAAAGAATATTTATAAGATACACTGTGAAGATACATTTAACATATTAGTAAAATTTATTTATATATAGAGAGAAAGTAAGGCGAAAAAAGTGTACTGAAGTTATTTAAATCGGCTATCATTCAACATTATTTCCAGTGAAAAATATGTTATTCCTATAGACATTTTTATAAAGTAAAACAAAATTAACCCCCTCCCCAAAAAATAAAAAATAAAAAAACTTTCCTCAATAAACGTCCTTTTAAAGAGCTCCTCGCTAACCACTATATTTAGCAAGCGTATTTGGACTTGGAATTTTTTAAGACCACGGTGAAAATTTAAATAAGTTTACTTAATTTTTCATGTAGAGTGGGTCCTCGTACCAAATTTTTGCACGTGTAAAAAGCAACATCTTTCCATTGCCTTTCATTAATCATTCACAAAAAAATGGTACGACGACCCACTCTATTTAAAAAAAATGTAGTTATATCATCCAATTTATATCAGTTTTTGTGAAAATTGAGCGTGATGCCATTTTTTTTGTGTTAATCAGAATCATTTTCGCTAGCTGTTACAGTATTCAGGTTTTGTCAAATTTGTATGTAAATGGTAATAAGCATTACACTAATTCAACAAAAAGTGAATTTTTTTAAAAATTGAATTTACTGATTTTTTATCGATCATTATGTAGGCATATGGCTCGGCTTATCCCCCCAGTTTCTTTACGTAAAGTTCTTTCGCATCCAATAGCATTTGTGCAGAGCATAGTCCCCCCCCCCCCCCTTTGGGTTTAGTTTGGCTCAAACGTTACCCATAGAGTGCCCATGGGTAGAGGATGTGCAGTGACCTTGAGCCAATATCCTAGATCAAACGTCAATATCGAAAATACCTCTGTTCAAAATCCTTGTCCAGAGCACGTTTTCTCTCCTTTTGGCCCAGATGGGCTCATTCTTCACCCATAAATCGCCTGTGGGTAGAAGATGAAAGGTCATGGTCAGAAAATCTTGTCCAAAGCGAGTGTCTTGGTGGGTAGAGAGTGTGCAGTGTCCTTGTGTCAAGTTCTTAAGTTTGTTGACAAGGTTATAGCAAATTTCTTAAGCATATTTTTTTCATCTTTTGGCCCATCTTTCTCAAACTGCACCCAAAGAGTGCCCTTGGATAAAGAGTCTTTCATCCTAGTAAATAACCTACCTACCTACCTATAGTCCTTGTTGCACATGGAGGCACATATTAGAGCAAGGACTAGAGATTTCTATTCTTCCCTTTTCTTGGCTATCCTTTCCACCTCTCCCCAGGTTTCATCCTAAATATCCTATGCTAAAAGCCGGGCCCTTTGAATTGGTCACCATCTTAACGATGTCTAGTTTCCTTCTGAAAGACATTACATAACATTTTATTATGTGATTAGCTTTGCCCCAGTTGTCTGTATAAATCTGTACATCTTCATTTACTGTAAACTAAGGTCTGTTCAAATTTGGATTTACAGTATACTAAAGTCTCTGTACAAATCTGGATTTACAGTATACTAAAGTCTGTACAAATCTGGATTTACACTACTAAAGTCTACAAATCTGGATTTACATTATAACTATAGTCTACATATCTGGATTTACAGTAGACTTAAGTCTTTACAAATCTGGTTTTTCAGTATACTATAAAGTCTACAAATCTGGATTTACAGTATACTAAAGTCTACAAATCTGATTTACAGTATGCCAAATTCTCTGTACAAATCTGGATTTACAGTATTCTAAAGTCTGTACAAATCTGGATTTACAGTATACTAATGTCTCTCTACAAATCTGGATTCTTGTGTCTAGTGCCATATAATTTTTTTCATGTTCTAATTCAATCAGTCTCGAACATTAAAAAAAAAAATCACTAATTCTTGATTCAAAAATAATAACAAAACCATTTATGGGTAACGTTAAACAATGAAAAACTTGTATCTTCGTGCATGCAGAGGGTGAATAGGTGGTCAGATGTAAAGTGAGAAAGGCACAGAGCTGGAATGACCGAGACACAGAGCATGCTAGTCATATTCAGGTAACACTACCGTAACTTCCTTGAATAAACGTTCAACAGAAAACCACGTTACAAGAAAACGTTAGATTTTTCAACCTGCAATAAAATAAAAAAAAATGTTTTAACTTTAACCTGTTAACCGGTGATTAAGTTAATGGTAGTGTTTTTCCAGGGACCTATATGAGTCCCTGGTATTTCTAAGTATCAAATGTTCTTGTGAATCCTGTATATAATTTTTTAATTTTTGTAATGATTTAAGCTGTTAAGTGTCAATTATGGTTTACAGATAAAAATTTGGATGTATGCAAAATTTCTGCTCAAATCTGAATAGTATTACTAATTTTTAAAATCAATATTCTTAAGTATTTTATCAGACAATATGTCAAATCAGTTAATCTTTCTCTGGAAGGTGAAAGGTTACGAATTCGAGAATCTTACGGAAGAAATGCAAATTATAACAGCTAGAAATGTCAAAACCGAGAAACAAGAAAGGTAAACATGTCAAATAACTACTGTCTGCAGAAAAAATATAAGGCATACTGAGAACTTACAAATTTGCTAACAGTTTTACTAAGAAAAGAAAAGGAAGGAAAAAAATTTGTGTCAGAAGTGGGATTCGAACCCACGCCCACATTCGTGGACCAGAACACTCACCCTCACGCAATGTGAAGGAAGAGTTAATACTCTTGAGTCTGGCGCCTTAGACCGCTCGGCCATCCTGACAACTCGTAAAATGGGGGTTTTAAATTGTATCGGTATAGACAAATAGTTTGTTTTTAAACGCTACCAGAAAACCATTGTGGTATTTTCTTTCAATATTTTCTTTACTTTAATTTTTTCATTGTTTTCTCATTTAATGTTAGCTGCTAAGTAATGAGAAGTGAGATTTTCCTGTTACTCTAGAGAACCAGCAAAAAACTAGTATCCGTTCACTCTCAGGTTCGACAACTTGAACCTACAGCTAGAAGTTTTTCAGGTATAGGCATATTATTCTACGAAAATACGGTTAACCATTAAACCGTAATTGTTTTTTGAACAGTGCCACACAATCATTGCACAGAAAATATGTGGAGAATAGATTTAATCATGTTAGCAATATGTCAAATCAAGTACAGCATCTTAATCCGAAATTCCTCGGTATCTCAATTGACAAGTCAATTTATAAGTTATAGGAATAGCGTATTAGATGTGTGTGAAGCAGAGATAGATAGAATTTTTTTTTAATCTATTATTAAAACTGAAAAAAGTATAGAACACTAAGTGTGTTATGTGATTGCCTCTGTGGAACAATATTCAAATGATTTCATGAAGAACAGACCTACCATCACTCTCAAGCAAATATCAAACACAATATAGTACTTCTTCTTCCGGTAAGGAGTTGACCTCTAATCAAGAGTGATGATGACTCAAGCTCGGTTTAAAAACAAGAGGCTTCCTCTTTTAAAAACAGATAAAACTATTTATACAGTATGATACAAAACTTGAAGGTACACATTTTTCACACCAAGAAAACCATTGTCAATTTGTCAATTATAGACAACTTTCACATTCTTTAAAGTTATCTCTCTTTGTTGGAGTAACGGTCATTTTTCTCACTATAATTAGCTGCTATGTCCTTTGTAACTTACCTGAATGTTTAAACCTTCAAACAATTTGTGACAATTTTGTACCACTCCTGTATTGCTATAGTATGGGGCAACACAGACAACATAATGAACATATATATAAAGGTATAATTTGCAAGCCTCTGCCTCATAAAGTTCGTAATGATACAGAGGGAAAAACGGTGAATTACGCCGATTTACCCCAGATTGACCCCACAAAGGGAAATAACTTTTATAAATGTAAAAGTTGTCTATTGAAGTGCAATCTAGGTTGGCAATGGTTTCATCAGGATGATTATTTTCATTGTATGTTGTATTGTCTAAAATTGTCATTTTGAAACTTTTTAAAGACACAGCTGACAAAAAAATAGAATGCCTCGCAGAGGAAGGGGAAGGGGCTCAGGGAAGGGTCATTGGAGAGGAAGAGGTCGAGGGAGGCCAGGTCATTCCCCTTTTGGAGCCCCTAATGAGGATCCAGATGAAATATTTACAGAAGTCCTAGAAGCTCAGGGTGAGATGAGTCAGACAGATGACCCCTCATTAGAAGGGGAGACAGCAGGGGAACTAGAGGCGAGTATGGAGAAGGAAGGAAGCCATGAAGAGCATGGGGACCCAGAAGGGGTTTTCTTTAAAGAAGAGGATGTGGGGATCACGGAATACATTGGTTCATCTCCTGGGTTTAATGCCATAATTAAACAAAGGTTGTCATTTCTTGACTGTTAGTTTAAATTGTTAACAAAACTTGCCAATTATTATGGTAATTTTGTTTTATTTTGACATTAAAAAAAAATAACAAAAAAAAAATAAAAATAATTTGCATTTTATAATTTTCAGAAATCAAAAATACACATGTAACTATTTAAAAATGAATACTGTCTAGTGTTTTGTAAAAATACATTGAAATTTTCTCTTTTTTCCACTTTGTAATCAACCCAAAATTAAAAAAATCTTCTCTTCTGAGTTCTGTCAAAAGATTTTGAAGCTTTTACCAAAAATCAAATGACATTTATTTGGTCTTTGAAATATGAGGAATGACTAAAACTCATACATTTCACATTTTCAAATTAAGTTATATTTATCTTCCTAAAGTTCTACCTCATATAAAAAATCCAATTAAAAAGAAACAAATTTAAACATGTTTAATCTAGATCTTAAAGAAACATTGGAATGTAATTATTATGTACCAACCTTTAGGTATTCAGACTTCATAGTGAATGAAATTGATGAGGAAGGAAAGATAGTGAAACTGACCAGCTTAGAGGTGGACCAATCCCTGATACAGGCTGTATGTATGTCTGTCAGTGTACACAATGTCACAAGGTCAAGGCTGTGTCATGACTTCTCACAACTTGCAAAGCAGTCAAAATATTTTTTTGGTACTGTGGAATCATTTTCATTGAAAAAAAAGGGGGGGGGGGGTCATGGATTAACAAAAAAATTACAGGTTCACTGCAATATACTGGGTAATTTTGCAGACAATTTCCCATAATGAAAAGAACTCCTATAGCGAGTACTGTAAACACATGTATTTCCACGGCATCACAATTCCGTGAATTGCAATTTCTGTTCAGCCTGCGGATATAAAATTACGACAATTTCTTAGACTGCCATTTTATTTCGTAAAGCACTTTAAGAATGCTTTAACAAATTTCTGTGGAAATTTGTGACCGCCTTCATGGTGAAAATATTAATTACACACGGAAAAAGTATATCTACAATATATGATACATCTCAGAATTTTTACAGTTATGTAGGAAATATTAAAATGCAAAATCAATTGTATTTCTATTTTTGTTGACATTAGTAACTGTAAAGGGGATTGATTAGGTAGTTATTTTCTAGTTAAATCAAACTTCATCTAAAAAATTACACATTTTCCTCTGGTGATAATCTTGCTAATTAAAAACATATATACAAAAAATCACCCTCCCATTAAATGAAATGATTCCACAGTTTTGTTTTTTGGAATGTTTTATTTTTTGAATGCTCTGTAAGTCTTGTTAATATATAGATATGATTTACTGTAAGAGGTAGAAAAGGAAAGATGTTGTGACACAAGATAGACCCACAAAATGATTTTACTGCTTTCACAAAACTGTGAAATTGTGTATGCTGACAAGTCTGTAGGAAAACACAGAACTACAGATATATCTTCACAAAAGAAAATATACCACAGATAGAAAAAAAACCCACTGATTACCTGGGATAACCTGTAACAGTTATCAGATGTTGTATACTTTCTTTTGTGGTTGTTTGAAGCTTTGGGAAGCTGTAGTGTTTGTGTACATACATCATCTGAAGCAGCACATTTAAGTGGTATTGGTTGACCAATTAAATGGTCTGGTAACAAACATTAAAAATACTGAAGCATATTTCTTATATGCATGGTTGTTTCTAAAGAAAAAAATGTATAGAAATACATGCATATATTGGATTTAAGATTAAATTCACAAATATATTGCATGGAAGATTTCTGTGTGATGCTTGGCTTTTTTTAAATATTTCAAATTTTCTTCTATTCAAACTTCATTCAGATAAGATGTTTGATGTCTAAAACAAACTGACTTTTCTTCTGTAAGGAGGAGGATTTAGAGGGAGTTCTTTCCCCTGAACAGAAAGAAATTCTGGACAACTTCAATGCAAACCCAGTACATGAGAGAACAGTTGATATTGCTGTAAGAAGTTCATATATACACTGTATTGGTGTTCTAAATGTTATAAATATCATATACATTGACCTAAGTATTGTGTAATAATTGTGATGTAGTATTTTATCTGACAAAAAATTTAGACGTAAAGGTCATATTTAAGATTGACTCTGCAATAAGTTAAGTAATGAACATTTTTTGTTAGGGCCCCATATCAAGATGAGTGTCTTCGGAGTTTCTTTTAGTATCTCTCTGTCTGTCCATCAATACTGGGTCACTTGGTGAAAGGTCAAACTCAAAATGATTGATAACCATCATCAAAACACATTTATGTGGTGCAATAATTAAACTTTTTTTTTTTTTTTTTAAATTTTGAATTTACATAATGTACATTTCTATACATAAATGTTGGTTAGAAGGAGAATTATTGTATAAAGTTCAGGGTCATAGGTCAAAATTGTGGCTTTCTCTGAAGTAATGCAAGTACTGTTACTGTATTACTTTTAATTCTACAAAAAGAATATTTTCTACACAAAGATGAGCAGTGGTTAAGACAGATCACACACAGATTTTAAGGTCTTTAATTCAAATGTAGTCAGAATAAGTCAGAATGGTTTACCTTCATGTGATCACACTTTAAATTAGGTGTATTTCAATATGGAGACCAAACTTTCCTACAGAGTGAGACCACAGACTCAGTGGACAAGGTCTAAAGGTCAAGATTAATAATATTAGCATACTGCATGTTCCTGCATGATAAGCTCTCATAAAAGACATAAATAAAAGGCCCCTGATAAATTGACGAAAATATAAAAATCTGAATTTTACGCTAATTTTTGCATACACTTAATCATTTATATGTGCACCCTCATGGAATACTACTTTTACTGAAAATAAAAACATCATTTGGAAGATATATATATTTTTATTTTAGGTAGGGGATACCATGTTTACATCCAATTACCATTGAAGTTTGGCTAATGCACAATTACTGACAGAATCAATATTACATCATTGATAGCTATTAACCAAGTTTAAAATGTTTTAGGCTCCAGAGGATAAAGAAATGAGAGTAAAAATCCACCAGATTGTAAAAAAGAACTACAAAAAGCTACAATCCGATACTTTATTTGAGGATGATGTTAGATTTATACAAATCACTGCCAAAGGTTCAAGGGGAGGAAGTGCTGGTGAGTGAAGGTTCTCTTTAATTTCTTTACTGGGATAAAGAAAAATTTATCTTTAGTTTCTCAGGCTAAAAATTTCAAAATTAAATGTAGCAGTCAGGCCTATCTCTTCTTTTTTAAAGCAAATATTGTTTATATAAAGTTAAATAATATCTTGACAACAAATGATGACATATTAATTCATATAATTATAAAACAAATTCAAGGAAAACATCCCATGTCAGGCAGAATACCTTTAGCCATTGTTTGATGTTATTTTGTTTCAGGTCAATATTTTCGACAGAATTATATGCAAAATCCATGGCCCCCTGGGTGTGGGAACTACTGTCGATTTGTCCTGTACAAAGAAAACATGGACACAATGGAGGCCATTAACAGAATGACTAAGCTTTTTCAGTAAGTCAAAACTGGTGCATTATAATTAATGTTTGAAGACTGCTTGAATTCACAGAAATTAGCTGGATAGCATTTTGTTATGAAAGATATGGCTTATTTATAGGTATTCATAGTCTGGATTTTATTGAAAAGGATTTACAAAATCTACAAAAATTGAAAGCCACTATAATGTTATGATGCATTATTCACCAGTATGCATTAAGTTGGAACTGTAGATTTATTTTTTATATAAGCTTACATGTTTGTGCATGTATATTTTACATAATTCTCTGTCTAACTCGAATACATGTGTGTATTATGTTTTCTTTTGAACTTTTGTAATATGTAAGACAAGTTGTGGAATACTTATGTTTGGACATATTTTTTTTCAGTATTAATAAAAACTTGTTCCAATTTGCTGGCACCAAAGACAAGAGAGCAATTACATCACAAGAAATGACTGCGTACAGGTACCGTTTAATACACTTTAACATCTGTATCTCGAACATCAATTTCTTGAATACCATTTTTGAGTGAAAGTGGGTTGGAAGTAATTAGTCCCATCCACTCTTCATCTATTTTAACCTTGTACATGTTATAATCTTGAATCATCGAATAGCTCAAGTGAGCTTTTCTGATCACTCGTTGTCTGTTGCCCGTCCGTCTGTCCGTCCGTCTGTCTGTAAACTTTTCACATTTTCAACTTCTTCTCAAGAACCACTAGGCCAATTTAAACCAAACTTGGTACAAAGTATCCTTGGGTGAAGGGGAGTTTAGATTGTCAAAATAAAGGGTCAAGTCCCCTTACAAGGGGAGATAATCAAGAAAAGACAAAAATAGGGTGGGGTCATTAAAAAATCTTCTTCTCAAGAACCACTGGGCCAGAAGAGCTGAAACTTACGTGGAAGCATCCTTGGGTAGTGTAGGTTCTAAATTGTTCAAATCATGACCTCCGGGGGTAGGGCGGGGCGACAATAGGGAATCCAAGTTTTACATTGAAATATATAGGAAAAATCTTTAAATATCTTCTTCTCAAGAACCACTGGGCCAGAAGAGCTGAAACTTATGCGGAAGCATCCTTGGCTAGTAAAGAATCTAAATTGTACAAATCATGACCCCCGGGGGTAGGGCGTTCCACAATAAGGAATCCAAGTTTTACATTGAAATATGTAAGAAAAATCTTCTTCTCAAAAACAACTGGGCCAGAAAAACTGAAACTTATGTGGAAGCATCCTGGGATAGTGTAGATTCTAAATTGTTCAAATCTTGACCCCCGCGAGTAGGGTGGGGCCACAATAGGGAATCCAAGATTTACATTGAAATATATAGGAAAAATCTTTAACCCTCTTACTGCCAGAGGGGTCATATATGGGCTCTACCCACTGGCTGCCACAGGGGTCATATATGTCCCATCAAAAGTATTTTATATAAAAAAAAGTATTGATCTATTCAGTGTTTAAGTTTATAAATCATGTATTTATTTAAGCATTTATTTGCTCCAAGTAATAAAAATTGTAACGTTATCTTGACAAATATTGAAAGACAACCGTGATACAATGACAACGTCAACTCACAGTGATGACGTCAAAAACGTCACAATACGTACAGGGCATATTCAAGACACTTTGCAATGGACTTTGCAATTATAAATGAAACGGTCTTTGATTTCTTTTTGGTACTTTTACTATAGATTAACTTTAAAAGTCACCAAAAAAAAAGAACATTACAAAGAATAATGATAATCATAGCCTATTTTAAAGACATGGCTTAGAATCTTTGTTAGCACTCATAGTTTGCAAAGTATGATAAGTATACTTGTATTGTCTTAATTTTTATTCATAGAAACATACATAGAATTTAAGATGTATCTTTCCCTTTCGTGTTATTAAGAGGACGACCAGTTAAATTGTGGGGGGGGGGTCAGATTTTGGAATGAAACACTCTGCCCTTGAAAATTTTGTTAATAAATCATCTCTTCTACCTTAGGAAGAAACTTAGGAAAAAAATTTCATTCTCGCCTCGCATATAGAAGTATTCCTAAAAATTATATAGAGCAATTACCACAATTCGTAAAAAAAATTGTCTCGCTTATTAAGGGTGGATTATTTCGCGGAAACAATGTGTCGTTAAAATTTAGTGATCTACAGTACTCTGTCCTGCGAGATGCGAGGTATTAAAATATATAATCTAAATCGAGAAAATCACCCCCTCCACCTAACTTTCCTCTCAGAATTTTAATTTTCAAAGGTCAGTTTGTAATAAATATCCGTTTTGTGAATTACTGAAATTTTGATTTTAAAAGTCTAGGATTGCTAAACGATCTTGGGGCCAGAGTATATACAGAAAAATTAGATTATGAATTTTTAGCTGATCAGAAATAATTCAGATGTTTATGGCTATTTAGTAAACTTTACTCTAAAAACTTGATTTCGGGAATCAAAAGAGAAAAAAATGGAATGGGAATTTCAGAAAATCAAACCAGGAGTACATGTACTACATGTACAAGTGAGTCATGGGACGTATAGACGCCATTTTTTTAAAAGAAGGAAAATAGTTTAATTTATGTTTTGAAATAGTGCATCTTCAATAAATCATTGTTTCTTCGATTAATATATTACATGTATATATCTAAAGATCTACAGATAGAATACTCGCTTGATTTGTTATACATTTGTAAATTCGGTGACTGTGGGATGTCACACGAAGAAAAAACTTTTCCTCCCGCACCAACTATTGTTACATATTAAAAGATCCGTTCCTGAGAAACACTAACTTATTTCCTGAATTCCGATATGTTTCTAAGCAAATAAAATTGTTCGCACTTTGTGCATATATTCCTCTGACAATTTCTTTACATAGTAGTAACGAGACAGAATACTTGAAATACATTTTTAGCGGGATTAATATTTCCTGGTTTTTATAAATTACAGTGGCATAGCTTCTATGTATGCTTGCATCCACATTATTATTATTTTTTTTAAAAAGAAAAATACAAAATTCTTTGAAAAGAGAACGTATTTTAATAAATTGGTATCAGTGTTAAAAGGTAAATTCTTTTGCATTATCCAAACACTGCATACCCCTTAGCTTGATTCAGAAAAAGCATCCACATTATTTTTGCCTATAGCCACACCACTGAAATAAACATCTATAACATTATTCCTGTTCTCATCCTTAAGCTGTTGTTTTGAAAATTTTCATTATTTGCCACCGACCTTGATATCAACATATCCATCAATGAAAGAACCAGAAAGGTGGAGGACAAATTGCTAATAACGCACATGGATGCATATTACTGCTGGATGCTTGTTCAATTCCAAGACATTTTTGAGGCGAAATCATCGCCTTTTTTACACTTGATAGTTAAATTATAACAGTGTATTGATATAAATAAAGGAGTATTCTACTTAGGTATAGTAGTGTGGTCCCTTTTTACACCCTTGGTTTACCGGTTAAATATTAGCATACAGTATTTTGATTGTTTTCATTGTGTATAACGAAGTATTTCTAATTATAACATTGTGTATTTATAATGAATAATTAAACATATAAAAAAAATTACAAGCCTGTTTTTAACACTTATCACAATAAAAAATGCCGGAACATTTCCCCCCGATCAGACTACGGTTTCTCTATTACATGGAAATGGGCGGAGACATTTAGATTAGATACTATAAACAGATAAAAAGAAGATCTTGGTATGATGTATTTCTTTCAAAGACGAATTATATGTTCAAGATTCACAATCAACTACAAATACAATTTTCTATTTACAAAACTTTGGCAATAAAAGCTATAACAAGATGAACCAAACAAGTCCTTGCTGATTGATATAAAACTGAGTACGTTTCAACTGAGAACTAGCACGTTTACTGGGGGCATTTACCCGTAACGATACAAATCAACGTGGCTTGCTGTGATTCTAAACAGGTCATAAAGAGGTAAATCGCATGCAAATGAAGTCAGCGAAGAGATTCAAAATCTTATTACTTTTAATTAGAAAACATAGAGCACAGGGTTGTTCAACAAAGATATTTTCACTTAACATCTACACATATAATATACACATTATATTTCAAACTCGACTCTGAACAAACCTGTGCTCGGTGTTTACGAAAGCTTTGAAGTGTCACTGTCACTGATTTCTTTTGATATACATGAAAATCAAAGGACCTTACCTTCAACGCGCAGCTTCGTATGCTGCCTATATCTATTGTTTGACATTTTTAGATGATGATTCAAATAATAGAGACATTAGTTAATAATAAAATTTAATTTTTAAAAATTTTAATTAATGTTCGAAATTTGACAAGTAACCGGGGACCACAGATAAGCCTTATTGAGACTTGTTCTTTAATAGCTACCCAATTAATACTTGTATAACCTCAGTTGAATTAGTTTACATTTTTAAACGACTTTCATCGATTGGATATGATCTGCTATAGTTTCTGAATTCTGTCAGAAACAGGCCGTTTATCCGTAAAAAAATTCTTGAGGAGATTGGTGATTTCCACGTTTGTTAAATGCAAAATCGTGCGAGAGTTGAACATATTCTGCACCAAATGTAGGAAAGCTGATTGTTTCAATTTCAATGCTAAATTTACCGTCAAAGAAGTGTCTGGGATTGGTGGGGAGGGGGGGTTGGGGCTTGGGATTTGAAATGATTTCTCCTTTTCTCGATCCTCTGCTTTGACTATTACTAGTATATTTGTTCTGCACAACAAACGTATATAAGAATACTTATACAACTGGTCTGTTTTACCAAATAACTAACGACTATCAGAAAAATTTATTTTATGATTACATGTAACTTAATTACTTTTCTTCTTTACATTAATTTTTTGAAAATAAAATTTATTTTTACAACAATTTTGAAATATCGAAATTTTTATGCAAGCAATACTATTTAACAATATGACTACATGTAATTAAAGAAATGTTCAATGTGTTCTGCAATTACACGTAAGCTGTGTGTTTCTTTTATATTCCATATGTTTCAGATAGTTCATACGTCATTCTTTAGATTTGCCTAAAGATTTTGATTAACCCTGCTTACAATCAGCTAAAAATTTTGAACAGAATAATGAATCAAATTTGTAAAATTAGGCCCATCAGATTTTCATATCATGGCATTAGACGGGACATGTATGAATTTTAAATTCTTAAAATGGGACATATATGAATTTTAAATTCTTAAAATTACTGGTTGAGTTTCATGACTTATATGTTGTCGAGCATTTCAGTCCAATATCCATAGTAAGGAATTTCATTTGGGGGTAGTGGAGAGGGAAGGGGGGGCTATCAAACAGAAATTCTTTGACAAGCTAAAAAAAGTATGCAGGTGCTCTTTATGTTAATTATGGGGGGGGGGCAAGCTAAAGTAACTATGTTTATATATTGTACTAGCTATGTTTCCCACAGTCTACTATATATCTGTAAGTTAGGGGTGCATTACGGCCCCCATCCCCCCCCCCCTCCCCGGTTTCTATGGCCATGACGTAGACCAACTTCACATGCACACCTTTACGTCAAACAATTTTCTCAATGACTGAATGTTCCAAAAACAATTTAATATGTTACATATGATTATATTTATTAATTTCACCAACCCCAACCCCCACCCCTCCAAATATTTGTAACACATGTGCGCATCGTTTGCTTAGCCCCTCCCCCCTCCCCCATGATATTCGGCTAGATCTACTTCTGTAAGAAACATCTTATTTGAAATTATGTGTCAAATTTATGAAAATTTCTCTTTTTTTTCTGCACTTGAATTTCTCAGATTAAATATGCTTTGTTTGAATTCGTTTCTCGGCAAAAATGAGATTATACATTGTATATAATTTAACGAGCTTCAATCTCTAGTAAATATTATATTATAGGCCTAAACATTTTTAAAAATACTGGTAACGCAGGATTTTTTTTTTTTTGTATCCCAGCGGATTGAATAGACATACAGAATAGTCTTATTTATTTTGTCGAAAAAAAAAAATTCTAGGCGAAAAGTGTGGGGTTATTTAGATGACGTTTTCCTATTTTTATAGCAAAAGGAAGAAGCATTTTACATAAAATACTAGTTGAATTTATAACTAGAATACTTTTTAATTATGTTATTCTCTCTTCTAATTGAGAGATTTATAAGTTGTAATTTAAACAGCAGGAAGAAAAAAAAATCAGCTCATTATTGCATTTAGGATGTTCTTTTTTTAAATACTCTTTCACATTATGATTTTTATTACTTTGACAAATTACGCGAACTTTTTCTTACGACTGTGACGTAATATTAGCAAAGGAGCTGACATCATTAACTCAGAAGTTGAATTATCCTTGTGTTCGTTATTTAGTAATTTATAAAATTATTACAATAAAGAATTTATCTTTAGGATGTTGCTTACAATTAGAAAAGAAATATTCAATGCACTCTGTTTCTAGTAAGAAAAAGTTCTGGCGTATCAACTGCACAATTTTGACACAGTTCTGGCAGTAAGAGGGTTAAAAATCTTCTTCTCAAGAACCACTGGACCAGAAAAGCTGAAACTTATGTGGAAGGATCCTGGGGTAGTGTAGATTCTAAATTGTTCAAATCATGACCCCCGGGGGTAGGGCGGGGCCACAATAGGTATTACAAGGGGAGAAATCTGGTAAAGAACAGCATGGCCGAAGTTACTCAGGGGAGCGATGTGGCCCAAGGGCCTCTTGTTCTTGGCCCCATCAAGTTTGAGAAAACAAGGTTTGATTTTACTAATTAACAGTGTTTCCCAGTTTTTTCTGACATTTTCTATTATTCTTTATCAACCGTGATGTTTTATACAAAGAAAATTCCAGTGTAAGAATTTTCATAATTTGTATCCTTTTAAAGTACACATTTCAACAGATTCAATGTGTTTACTACAAAAAAGATTTATGTCATGTACTGTAACAATTAAATAATTTTCATTTTGAAACACCTCTTGTTTGTAAGTACATGTAGATACTGAATGTAGAAAAAAGGTTATTTGAATTCTTTTCAGATACATGTTTGACATCCATAAAAGTAAACTTGAAGATTTTTTTCATATGTCATTAATTTGATGTTTATTTTGAATGTTTTTTTCATTTATACAGGGTCAGAGCTGAGAAACTAGCTGGAGGAAATCGGAACCTTTACAAGATGGCTCTTGGCAACTTCAGATATGTTGATCAGCCCTTGAAATTGGGTCAACTTGGAGGCAACAGATTCACTATTGTACTGAGGTATTCACTTTAAATCAGTTGCTGTAAATGTTTTCTTTATCCTAAGAAATTGTAGATACAATTGAATTTCAGTATCTTGAATAATGATATCTTGAATACCATGTATATGTCAGTTATTTGGGATTCCCAGCCACTTTTTCTTTATGTACAGCTGTATTTTACCTTCAATATCTCAAATCCTCAGATATCTGGAAAGATTTTTCTCGGACCCATTGAGTTAGAGATAATGATGTTTGACTGTATTTTTTCCTAAATATATAGAAAAAGATGCTGCTCTGTTTTGCAGTCAAAATCATTTCTCTATGGCGAGTCTATGCCAGAGTTATGCTTGTGTAAATAAGCATAGGTTTATCCTTAAATGGTGAAGAGTACAAAAATAAACAGTGGAAAAACTTAATACTGCGCAGTAGTTCTATGTTTTTATGATAAAATGGACAACCTGATATACAGTCAAACTTTTAATAAACTTTCCTGAACATGGATTTCATAAGAGTGATATGTTGGTCAGAGGATACCAGTGACGACGCTGAATCAAATTAGGACCACAGTTCACACCAAGTTAATCCTGATATTTGATATGTCAGTGTGTAAGATACTTAATATCAGCTGTGTATACTTTGCAAAGTTCATACAGTTAAATGTCTATGCTGTGTGAGTCCATAATCCCATTTTACAGTTTCTGTTAAAACTTCACTTCCCTATCTTGACCACTCTGTTATAATGAATTATTTTGTGATTCCTACCGAGTGTGAGTTGTTATAAGGTTTGGCGTTTGGTAGGATATTTGATCCACATCGTTCATTGTTTTTATGACCAGGAATGTAACTGGGAATGAGGAGACAGTGCAGACTGCCCTGGAATCACTGAAGACTAACGGATTCATTAATTACTTTGGGATGCAAAGATTCGGCACTACCACCATTCCTACATACAGGGTGGGAAAGTAAGTCATCATCTGTAAAGATTTTCCAATTTTTTGGCTCCCCACTATGAAGTTGACGTCTTTATGTTATACTTATGGTATTGGCATTAGCTTGTATTAAGTTTTTGATGTAAATCCATTTTCCAAGGATGTATAAGCCTTAATTGAACCAAACTTGCAAAAATGATGCATCTACAAATAAGGCATCAAATATTTTATCTGAGCTATATTTTTTTATCAAATAAGTTTTAACTTATTTTTAGAGAGAAAAATTCATTACATATTTAAGTTTCATTATTTTCAAATGAGTTTAACTACCGGGAAGAATGGATACAAACAACTTGAAACAAACCACTATGACACAATTTTTCAAAGTCTACAGATATTTACAATGTACAAGCAGAATGCCAAATGCACAGGAGATTTTTTCATTATGTACAGACATTATCTAAGTATGACCTACAAATTGATTATCATTACACTAAATGAAACTAGTTATAATGATAAATAACAGCATTTTCTGCCTATTACAGATGTGGCTATAAAAGTAGTGATTGTGTCATACATAGTGATAGCTGGGTGTTTACAACTGATAAATAAGAAAATATCTTTAAAAGGCTTTATAATCTTTACTTGTATATAAAAGATGAAAATGGGTTTACATTTTATGCATCCATATGACCAGTTGGTCTAGTTCACATACATTTTCTGCACTTCTCATTTACTAGACTATTCTCTGTCGGACATGCCTTATTGTCAAACCCAGTAAAGAAACTTTGAAGGGAAACATTTTTTTGTTAACACTAAATTTTCACTTCAGGGAGTTACTGAAAGGCAATTACAAGGAAGCAGGAGAACTCATATTACAGCCTAGACCAGGAGGTAAGTGTCACCTAATCCTATCCCACATCGATATCTTGAAGACAGATTTCTCAAACACCAGGGATATGTCAAAGTGATGTGGCAGTACCTACCATTCTTTGTTTATGTTTTTAACTTTGATGTCATGAATCCTCAGATATTTTACAGTATTATTTTGGTCTGATCTAGTTCAAGACAATGAGGTTTGACTTTATGTCAAAAAAAAAAAACTTTTTCAGTAAAGTTGTAAAATTAAAGCTATGTAGTACAGAAATCATATTTATGAGTCATACATTTATCTTGGGTTGAATTTGTGTTTCATCCTTTATGTAGAGAAAGAGTTTATTTCTGAGTGTAGAAAGAGTTGGTGGAAGGATAAAAACTGTGTACAGATGTTGAAAACATTACCACGAAAATACGCAATAGAAAGATCACTACTAGAGGGCCTCATTAAATTCGGAGAAAATAACTACGCCAATGCCTTCCAAATGGTACATATTCAGAATTTAGGCTTAAAAAGATTGAACATTCTTACAGTACAAGGAGAAGTTTACTCCTCAGCATTTAAATTTAAAGTTTAAACATACTTGAGGCATTGGATTTGTTACAGTTATTTGTGTTTGAATCTGAATCTAATATATAAATGTACATTTACAATAAAATTTTGTTTGTATCTTATTATAGGTTCACAGAAATACCCGAATGTTATATCTTCATGGTTACCAAAGTTATATATGGAACCATGTAGCTTCACGTCGTCTGAAGGAGTTTGGCATGGTGCCAGTAGTTGGTGACTTAGTTTATAAAGGTGACTTAAAGGATGTGGCCTTTAAAGAGGAAAACCAGGAGTCCTCTACTAATGGTGTGTTAATAATTTTTCAAAGTAGTTTTCTATAATTCTGAATAAATTAAACATGTCTCAACATTTCCGTAGATCTTTGTGTAGTGTTGTGTTCCTGTGGTCGAAATTAAACGGTGGTCGAAATTACCCAGACTTACCTTACTGTGAATTCATTAATTTTCATGGGGTTAAAACTTTCATTGTTTTCATTGTATGGAGAGATCCCTGAATTCATGTCCTCCTTAAACTTTAAAATTTTAAATAATATGTATGAAAGCTGCAATTCTACCACGAAATCAAATCCTCCTGTATAAATATATTTTCCTTAAACCTCAAAGTTTTTATTCCTCAAAAATATATGATTTTACAGTAATATTTTCTTGAGGGCTTAATATTCATTGCATCTACATCTGATAAAAGGGCCATAGTTGTCCCAGTTGCAAATTTTCTCTCTCCCCCCCCCCCCCCCCCCCCAAAAAAAAGTAAAAATTTCCAAAAGACAAGTAGATTGAATATTTCAGTGTAAAGTCATCGATGTTTGCCACTTTCTAACTCCCCTGGGTATAAGTGAACTTTTCTGATCAAATATTCTATGTTATCTGTTGTCACTGGCTCCTTTGTAAAGTTTTCACATCATGAACTTCTATGAACCACTCAGCCAATTTCAACCAAACTTGCCACACGGCATCCTTGGATGAAGGGGATTCAAGTTTGTTCAACTAAAGATCCATGCTCTCTTTCTAGGAAAGATAATTAAGAATTAGGGAAAATTTAATGGCATTTTTAAAAAATCTTCTCAAGAACCACTGGGCCAGGAAAGCTGAAATGTATACCAATCCTTCATTACATAGGAAAGATTCAAGTTTGTTCAAATCATGACCTCCAAGTGTAGGATGGAGACACAACAGGGTATGAAAGTTTTATAAAAGTGGAATTAATCTTCTCAATTACAGTACAACCCCCCCCCCCCCAAACTAGTTTTATATTTAAACTTTTCAAGACTGAACTGATTTCTGCTTTTTCCTAGCAGAGCGATCTGGCCCCTGGGCCTCTTGTTCTTTTGTTTCTCCAAAAATGTTTGAAGATTTTGGTAAAGATTTCTTTTAAACTTTTGAGGATAATATTTGTAACCTTGATGTAAATTTACAAAGTTTTTCACCATACTGTAGGTGAAAACACCAGTTCTAGAGTGACTCCTACCATAGTGACAACAGAAAACTTATCTCAGTACACCATACAAGATGTTCTACTGCCCTTACCAGGGTTTGATATCAAATACCCAGACAATGAAGGTGAGACTCGAAGATTAATGGACGGAAATTAAACTGGAATCTTACTAAAGATTAGAACATAACCCACTTTTTCATCAAATCAGAAATCCCTAAATATTCTATTATCTTAAATTAAATGTTTAAATCTCTCTGTACAAAGAGAATTTCTTGACTACCAAAAAAGAGGTCGTCAGACAATTTTTTTGGTGCAATAAATTAACTGAATTGACTTTGGCATTCCTATTCAGTGGTATGCTGGGCATATAAGGAAAAATAAAATTGACAGCTTTGAGAAACAAAAGAAAGAAAACATTTCATAGGTGCAGAACTTTGGATCAGCCAATGAAAAAGTGGGTTCATGCCCATGTTTACAAACACAGATGTCTGGTGTAAAGTTATGAACAATATTTCAGAATTAAATTCATTTTAAGAATTTTCAGGTAAGTTTAATTCTTTAAACTGAAGTAATTTTTTAAAATAAAAATCGAAAACAAAATAGTAATGCAACTATGTCCAGGCCCCTTTAAAATACTGGTGGTTTATTTTGTATACTTTTACAGATCTATACATTTACATGTAAGAATTTTTTATTAAGGCTAATAATAAGTGTATATACAGAGAATGGATGTAGTTAAAATTTATTTAGGGTATAGCAGTATCCTACGAGTTAAGAATTCAGTTTTTATTTTAATTTACAGTGGGTAAATGGTATTCTGATCTCTTGGAAGCCGATGGACTGACAATGGAAGGACTTAAACACTCCAATAAGTAAGAATATATATAAAATGAAATCAATATCAAGGTCAATTCTACATTAAAATTCCTTTATATTAAGGTCAAGATCTATTAAATGAAAGGTGCCTTCATTTTTCTGAAATCTGAGAAACAAGTTCTTTCAATGATCCTTTACAAATATAGCTTGGCGAAATTAGGTGTATTGGGGCATAATTTTTAGGTGAACTCAACGGAAAATGATACTGTTATTTTCAATGAAAAATGAAGGAAGTCAAGTATAAATATGGGAGTTTTTTCCTTCTCAGAAAAAGAAAATGTATCAATATTGCCTACAGTCTCTCAGAAAACAGTTTTTCATATCTTCTTGACCTCTTCTTTAAAATGATATTAATTTGAATATAGGTGTCAGCCTGAGGGTTAATTTTGACATGATTTCAAATTGAATTCCATGAAAATGTTTCATTTTCTACATAATTCTATAATAGCTGTAAAGCACGGGAAAAATTAAGTTTAAATCAATTATGACGTCATAATGGATCTAGCACCAAAAAGACAGTCTAAACTCATTTACTAGGTCTTGACCTTAATTAAACTAGAATTTAATGTTAAAAAAGGTGCAAATCAAAGCTGTACGTATTATTTTACAGGCAGTATGCATTACCAGGTGCTTACAGAAGATTACTTCTAGTTCCAAGTGATTTGAACTGGAAAATGTACAAATACACAGATGTTACCAAGGAGCTGACCTTGAGTGACCTTGACCTCATTAAACAAAAACCAGAGCCTGTTTCAGAACCAGGTAGATTTCATTAACATAAACTTACACTATCATAGTTTATTTACATGTGTACTTTCATATGTAGGCTTTTCCTTGATGCAGAAATTATTATACTCATAAAAACGAAAGTACAATGTATAAAAAGTTTTTAAAATTTTGACATGTACATACTTTAGCTAAAGTATAAATACAAATGGAGATGGAATAACACTACCCAACTTCCTTGTTTCATAAAATATGCTCACAGGAAATCAGAATGTGTGGTTCCTGAAGATAACATGAGTAATCTTGTATAATGCAGTTTTTCACGTTCACTCTGTATTTTATGTACAATTTCCTATTGTTTAAATCTAGTCACTAAAATTCTCATATAAAATTGTTTTATGCCCGAAGATCAAAAATCCCTGTCTTGCCATCTGTCAATCTGTGTCTCTGTCAAAAACTTAAACCTTCCTAATAACTTTTGAACCACATAACTTAGAGACTTTATTTTTGCGAAGTTTTAGAAATATATTATGAGCACTTTATTATTTTTCTTTAAAATTTAAACTCTCCCATTTTTCTGGAGAAACAAATTAAAAAAAAATTAAATTTAAATGGACTGGGTTTGGTGTTCTATAAATACCTAGTGTACACATTGTTTGGAGACTCCACATGTTAAGTTCAGACAAGTGGTAAATAATTTATTTTCTTCTGAATCTTGCTGCTATGAATGGTCTTTGGTGTTGTTCAATTTATGTTAAAATATTGTCCATCAATCATAACTACTTGGCCATGCCCGTGAACGATAAATAAATAATAATAAATGAGTACCTGGTAGTTACAAGTGGTTGTACATGACTATTTTTTGTGTATCCTAAAATTTATGATATTACAGGATGAGCATTTCATAATGAATTTGTTACTATAATTATTTCTTTATAGACATTTATTTAATCATTGATGTAGTAAATCACAGGAGTTTGGTATATATAGTTACAAGTATGTTACTGTTCAGCATGTTCAATGTGATTTCACATGTTTTAAAAGTGGGGGGGTGGGGGTCCACACCCACTTGATTAATTTTACAGTTCAAATCCATGTCTAGTGATAAAAAATAGATTTTATCTCTGTATTAACAAGCAGTTATAACATTGAGGGAGAACAAAGAACTCTCAAGTGTTTTCTTTAATATTATTACAACAAGGTAGGTATATGAACATGCTTTATATATCTTATATAAGGCATATGTGGCATGTTTCTGCCAGGTATAATGGAAATTGACCAACCAAATATGCAGTAGGCTAATCCACTTTCTCAGTTGCTTGTTCATTGAGTAATTTGTTACCCTTCAAATCAATGTCTTATGATCAGAAATGACCACACCAGGGGCATTTGTGTTTATCAAATACATCTTGTTGACAGATGGTACTGCAAATGCATTGAAAATCCAAATGTCTCTTCCACAATCCTGTTACGCTACCATGGCACTTCGTGAAGTTCTAAAAATAGACACTTCAGCCGCATACCAGTCTTCGCTGAATCATGGCAGAAGGCCCAATCACACACCAACGGCTGCTAAGGAGATGCCGAGTAAACAAAAGGAAAATCCTTCTCAGTGACGTTGTGAAATCCAGTATTTTTCTGTTAAAATGTCTACTTTCTTCCTGTGCAGAACTTTATAGTCTTGATGGATCATTATGAGATATTTATCAAACAGGTTAATGTTGGCAAATTGAGAGAAAATTTGGCCTTGTGAAAAGTAAAATTTGTCACCAATAAATTTCACAATTCCAAATAAAAATAGAAAATAAATTACATGATATAAATTGTATATTAATTGGCACCTGAATTGACTTATGTACAACTGTGTTATGTGAATAAGGACATTTAGTTCAATTCGGTTTAAAAATGAAGGCACACATTACTATGTACCAGTAAAAAAATGTGTGATAACCTTGTAGTGTAGGCCTCAGTTCAAAAGAAATTTAAAAACAGAATGATAAATGGCTTAATGGCTTAATATGTACATTACAGGACTTACTCTTCATACTTTGTTCATGATGATTAACCTAATCTGTACAATGTTAATATGATGTCCAGAGCTCACAAATTTGTGTATTTATCTCTTAATTAATATTTACTTTCATTAAAATAGATGTACATGTACCTGTCACAAATGCTATCCTGTACTAGTTTCTGGAGAGTAATAATTAAAAATCTGTTAGATTATGCTAACTAATTCAATTTTTCTTATGGCAAGTAGTCTGTCTTGAGATATATAACGTAATGAATGTGTTGTATCTTAACACTATAAAGTTCTTTTACTTGTTAAACTTAATTAAGTTGTCCTAGCCTTTAGATGAAATACTCATTCTATTGAATACCAGAGAAAAACATACATTTGAAAAAAAATCCTATTAATCGGGGGGTGGGGGGGTGGGGGGGGGTTGTAGAGTGTTTATGGATATTTTTGTTTTCTATCCAACATAAAATTTATGATAGTAGTCTGCTCACCACTATGAGAATTATATCCGCCATTCTTCTGTCAGAAAAGGAAATGCTAAACAACTAAAAACAGAGTACCAAACTCAAACGTTCAGTGACATTCAATCTGTCAAAAACATGACTTTCCTGAATTTTTGGGACAATGCTTGTTTACAGTGTACCACTCAGAAGTGTGCAATAACTGTGATGTAGGGAAATAAAAGACTTTGATTTTGTAACTGTTGATATAATTATTTTGTCATGAAATAAAGAAAAAAAAAATACAGATTAATTTTTTTGTATGTACATGAATGATTAGTAATTTGATCATGGTATTTGAACCACCAATCACTTAATGTGGTTTGTCGATAGATCTTATAATCAGACTGCTCTTTTGGATATGATCTTTAATCCATAGCAGAGAAAACCTCAAGTTTAGTTATCTGGTTCGTCTTGAAAATTTAGCTGTTTTAAGCTGAAGTCTTGTTTTGGTCCATCACCTGAAGAAAGAGTAATTAAACACTGAGTAATTGAATGAAAATTGGTTTAAAGAATGTTGTATGATAAAGTAAAGATTCCAAATTGTTCGAGTCATCAGGGACCTTGGGGATAGGGGTGATGAAAAAATCTTTGAAACATTTTTCTTAAGAATAGCAGGGCAACGGATAGTCAAATTAAAATGCAAGCATCCTCAGTTAGTGCAGATTCAAATCATAGCCCCAGGGAGTAGGATGCCCCATGGGGCTTCATTTTGTGATCAAAGTTTGACATAGGAATATACAGGAAAGAAGCCTTAAAAATATCAGCAAGAACAGCTGGGCCTAGATAGTCACATGAATATGCAAGCATCCTCAGAATGTGTAAATTGAAGTCTGTATCATGGCACCAGGAAGTGGGTGGGGCTACAAATAGGGGATCAGAATTTTACATTGAAGTACATATATATAAAATATATATCAAAAATTTTCTCAAGAACCACTGGGTTATGCATAAGTGATATTAGTATGCAAGCAATTCAATATGACATATAGTCATAATTGTTCAAATCATGGCCCCTGGGGCTAGGATGGGGCAAAAATAGGGATTCAAAGCTTGTGTTCAGAAAAAAAAAATAAAAAAAGTTTTCCAGAAAAGCAAGGCCATGTTAGTCATATTGACATTGAAGCATCCTATGTTGTGTGGATTCAAGTTAAGACATTACCCCTTATGGCTAGAATGAGATCACATTATGAGGTCAAAATTTTTCATTGGAATAAAGGGGGAAATATCTTTTAAAATCGAGCATGCAGTCAGGGTTACTCAGGTGAGCATAGTGGCCCATGGGCCTCTTATTTTAAATAACATCTTTTAAACAGTCTCCCAAAACATAGATATAAATGAGAAAATGAATTTTATGACGGTATTTTTATACGAAACCTTGCATGTAAAGAATAATTGTATGCACAACTTGTAAGGGTGTCAACAGATGATAATTCATGTTGCTCACATACTTTCCAAATATGAACAAAGAAGTAAATTGATACTTGCCTTGTCGAAGAGGCGTAGGATGCAAGTTGTTTTGATGCATATTCTCTGCTCTTATCATCCATTTTAAGATACTTGTACATCCTACTCAAAAGTAATGCCATATTAGGAAATTCTTCGCAAAGTTTTTCAATATCAGGCATGTGCTCGATAAGCGGAGAAAATTTGAGATCTAGTCTTGATATATTGAAAACATGTACATAGTACTGCTTCAACCTAGCTTTTAGTTCCCGTTTTTGAGATAAAATTTCTTTTTTTAAGTCTTCATCATCTATTTCTTTCATGTCAATTGAATCTTCTTGTAGTGTGTGTCTCATACACCGAATGGCTACTTCTATGGTACAAGTGGAAAGGAGTTTATTTCTTTTGTTAAATTCTTTTAGACTATATTTATATAAAAAGTCTGCTATTGAAGGCAAGTCTCCGGACTTATCTTGGGGGACCTTAAGCCAGTTGATCCTAAAGTCAACAACCCAAGGTAGAATTTTCGCCAAGGACAAATCGTTTTCTTTTAGATATAAATCCGTCAAATTTGTTCCAAATCTGCCATCGTAAAGTTTAGCTAGTATGATACGTGAGGATCGCTGCTTCATCTTGTGTAGAGCATTTCTGAAGAAATCCTGAAGGCTGGGCATATTCTTCTGCAATCTGTATTCTGGTATGAGTTGTGCATCTAAGTACATTTCTTTCAATAGCTCACACGTAGGAACATAAAATCCCATCTTTGCAAGAAATCTGGCTGCGCGATATGTATATGGAATCATGGTGTGTTCAACGACCGTTGCAACATCTCTAGTTTGCACAAAACAAGGAATGTCTTTCAGCAACGATTTAACCAAGTTTGGTCCAAATGTAAATCCATGTTTTTCAGCAACGAACTGGGCAATATGGGCTGGGAATGCCCTAATAGACTCGACATAAACACATATGTTGTCAATATCTTCTGCTGAAAAACACTCAATTAAATCACTTTGTGGGATAAAGTAATGCGGCAGAAATCTATGTTTTAAGCAGATCACCAATTTGCTGAGAACAAACAAAATACACCCACTGAAGTTTAAATCCCAAATGTGAGATGGGATTTCTTCACACGCTTGAAAAAATATGGATTTTATATGCTTTGTTTTTAGTCTTTTCTCAACATGGAACGTTATGTTATCAAGAAGAACCTTGATTACAGCAAACCCATGTCGCTGTGAATCTGTAAGGCTGTTGAAAAGCAGCAGTTCTATCTTGGAGAAATTTATTTTCCATTCAATTGTTGGGTTTTCAGAATTCCTGTGCGCTTTGGGTATCAATATGCAGGGAATGTTATGAAATAAAATCAAGAGATCGCGTGAGGGAAAGTCAAATTTTCGCCTTAAATGCAACCACTCTAAGGCAACCAGGAACGTTGGGCACATTAGCCCGATATATTTAACTTCGGCATTTATGCCCAAATTCGGAAAATTCGAATTGCTTTTTTTAATGCTGTAGGCTTGTAAATAAGTATTAGACTCTATTTTGCAAGTTTTTTCACCAACCAAGACTGCTCGTTCAGCGGGGAATTTCAACCTACAGTATCCCGCTCTTGTATTTGACGTATCTAAATGCAATGCGTACGGCAACGGCGGTGCTTCTGCAGATAACACTGGTATGTTAGATTTTAATACTACGACTTTCGCAACCTTTCCTCTTCTTTGCATATTGTAAAATGCTCTCATTCTCTGCGATTTACTAACGTCACTTAGCTCAAAATCGCTTCCATCAGCAAATGAGTCCAGGAAATGAAGTGTTTCTCCAGTGCGTAGGGGAGGTGGATGTTGACCAAAATTATGGTGAAGCATTTGGAAAGGTAGCAAGTGCTTTAGGATGAATGTTAGATGTGGCAAGGGAGTTCCTGAAATTGGATCGGTGTGAAGAGGGTCTTCAATCAACAGCTGTAAGGAATCTACAAAGAATATTTTATTATAGTCATAAAATGATCATTTTATATATCCTCAAAAAGAGAAAGTGAAATTAATTAATGTACATGTACATTACTACCAAGTAACTTAAAAGAAAGCTAATAGCGTTTTAAAAAAAGCACACAAACATAAGATGTAATTAAAATTACATGTCTGTTTGATACGGGCATATCAATGGGTAGAAAAGAAGCAACAAGTTGAATGTTGATATAAATTGACATTCACGAATCATGAGTAATAGATGATCGAAAGAGGTATTAAAATTAAACAAGAAGAAAATTCAATTCGTAATGAATGGAGATACTGATGCCAAGACTTTTGAAATGAGTGCATGTAACCTTCAGTTTCTTCTAGTTGAAGCTCTTGTCCACTGTTGGGTTGAAAGATCTCTTCATAATTTATCCATGCTGTTTGTGTTTTCTTTTCATTCCTTCTATATATCAGTTCTGATATATGTTCAAAAATTTCATCCAGTTCACTTTTTGGAATATATTGCCGTGATGGCATATTTAGCAGTTTGTCTTTTAGGAGAGTGTTTGGATCTTTTGAACATGCTAGTAAGCGATACAGCAATGCCTCTGAAAGAAAATAACATTTTGAAACTAGAATAACAATTTAAACTATTTCATGAATTCAAATCAGTCAAACTGACATGACTAAATCATAATTGTACTTAATATGTTCGTACAGCATGCTGTCATGTTGGTATTTTGAAAAATAGAGACTTTTCATGTGGGTTATATATAGAAATATATTAATTGTGCCCGAGGCGAAGCAGAAGTCAGTATTGATATACTGGTTCAATTTTGAGCCTGGCTCATTGCTGTAACCGGCTTTTGTCAGCATGTTAAAACATTAATTTATAATAGACTTAAGTGGTGATGAAATGAACTTCGATTACGACACGCATCGGTATTTTTTTCTAAGATGTGGAAACTGTCTGGGCATACTCTACATCCCAGGGTCATGATTTGAACAATTTAGAATTTGTAATATGACAGGAATTTTGCAAATAAGCTTCATCTTTTATGGTTTAGTGGTCCTTATAAAAAAGATTTTCCCCTATTTATTCAAATATGAAAATTTGATCCCTTTTTTTTGATTCCGCCCTACCCACCTGGGGCTATGATTTGAACAATTTAGAATCTTTATGTCAGATTACATTTAAGTTTCCCTTTTTTCTGGTATAGTGGATCTTAGACAGATTTTTCAAGATTCTTTCCTATATATTCCAAAACTACCCTGAGGCCATGATTTGTACAATTTAGAATGTACAATTTCTCTGAATGTTTTCACATAAGTTTCATTTATTTTTTCTGTACCAGTAGTTCTTGAGAAGAAGATTTTTTTTTCAACACCTCACCACAATTTTTTTTGCCTTTATTGATTATTTTTCGAAGGGTACTTGACCCCTTATTTGAACAATTTTGAATCCATTTTACTCAAGGATATCTTTGCCAGCATTTGTTAAAATTGGCCGAGGTGGTTCTTGAAAAAAAAGTTGAAAATGTGAAAGGTTAAAAATTAGATGGACGCCGGACAACGGTGATCAGAAAAGCTACTTGGCCCAGGTAAGCTAAAAAGATGTAGACCATTTGTACTTTACATTGTTTATAGGAATGGGATGAAAATAGAACTTACTATAAGGCCAGTGCAACTGCCAGTGTTTAGGACGTAAACTCAGATAGTAGAACTCCCCAAGATGACCAAGGTATATTGTCATCGGTCTCTTTTTAATTTGTTCACTGAACTCTGCGATAACCTCTGTTCTTCTGATGTCATCTTGGTAGACGTTAAAAACGACGATTTTTAAAGTAAAAACGTCAGCAAGGGCCTGAAGGGAAATGTGGTCACCCCATTCCCCGGGACTTTCCATTCTTGCAAGGTATTCCTCCGAAGTTTCTCCCGACAGAAAAGAGGTATGATGTGACCCGTCCTTTCCAAGATACTTTGTTCTGAGGTGTCTGAAATGAAAAAGTGAATGATTATTTTTGGTATGGTGAGTCAGTAAATCGTTGGCAAGGCAAACGTTCTGTTCTAAGCATGTGAGACATAGCAAACAAAATCATCGTCTTTTGTAGAGATCTTTCGGTGAATTTAGTGTCCATAGCAGAGTTCGTAATGCTTTGTCAACTCAACTTCAGTCACTATTGCTATTAAGTTAAAGAATGCTTACTTTATTGCTGTTTGTCGTAATGTTGTCTCTGTATGACCTGGACAACCATTGATCAGAAACTGGTCAGCTATTGCACGGAACAGGCACTCCCCATCCGAAATGACATCATGTACCTCAAAACTGTTACCGACAGCAAAATTGCGAATTGATCGTTTTAAAAAAGGAAGATTGATAAATCGTTCTACTGCTATACCTGGTTTAAAATAAAATCAAATAATTGAAAACAATTGTCAATTAAAAATTGCATTTAAAAAAAGTATGGTTGGTTGAAAAAAATCTATTATGCCGAAAGTTCCTTTCAAATATTGAGTTTCTGTGTTTATTGTGTCATCGAATATATGATAAAGCTAACAATTTTTTCAAACCTGGAAGTAAACGTTATTTTCACATCTTAAATTAAGAGCTTTACTTTTTTATATCTAGTGATTTCACGTACGAAAAAAAAATGAAATGGAAGATATGGCTGAATTCTTACTATATCTCCCCTCCTTTGGGACATTTGTAGATGGATGTAGATAATTCGCCATGTCTTCTCTGCGCTTCTTCTCGCTGCTCTGTGTATCCCAGTATTCATCTTCGCTGTCGAAGTAATCCGTCTCGTCTGTTTCGACGATTTCATTTAATTTAACAATTGATCCAGAACCAGTGTCACTAGGTTTATAAATTTCTGGTTTATTTGATATTTCATTAGATTCTGATTCTAAAATCTGTTCCGCAGACCTCAACTTCTTTCTCCCTTCTATAGTATCCGATACATTAACGTTAACGAATTCTTGTTTGCTATCGACACACTCTAATCCTAAATGGTCTTCTTTTGATATCTCTCTTTTCCCGACTAAAATTTCATTATCTTTCTGCTCCTCAAAGGTTTCCGTAAATTGGTTGTTAAACACGGTTTTACCGTCATTTCTCTGTATGTGATTTTTTGCTGTCCAAAAACAGTATAATGGATTCTGCGATCTTTCTTTTTCGATCAGTTGTAAGACGCTTTTGTACATTTCGACAACTTTGAATCAAATTTTTTATGCACAATTACTGTTTATCATCTTATACGACTGTTGAGAAGAAAAGAAATTTCTTTCATTAAGCTAGTTGTTTTGTGCTCTTCCTTGTTTGTTTTTGTTTTATGCATATGACAATACGATCAACAGTTTACGTGTATCCTGACCAGTCGTATATTTCCCTCTTTAAATAAGGACGTAAATTTGGATTTCCATTCTAACTCAATTTCAGTTGTTAATTTTATCTTATTTTTCAGTTCCTTTGCCTTTAAGTGTATATTTTTGGACACAGTTTAAAGTAATTTTATAATTTTACATTGATAAAAATAAATTGAGATTGAAGTGAAAATTTAATTCAATAATAGAGATGTAAATTCCATGACAACATTGAAATCCTGTTTGCCATGTTCTTATTCGGAAGTATCCGGGGGAAAAACTTTTAAGTGAAAATTTTTTAAGTGTTTATATTTAATCATCAGGTTTGAATTTTACCACTGTCATTTATGTCTTTTAAATGTCAGAGAAATTGGGGTTTTAATTATACCCTCTTGTTTTTTGAAGGTTTTAGGTTCAAATTAATTTGTTACATCTTAAAAATTAGAGTAAATTTATATTTATTTTGAGGGATATCATTTTTTTTTTAATGTTTTTGCTTTGAATTCCAACATATAGATATAAAATATAGATGTAAAAAGAATGAAAATGTAAGACTTACTCAAATAAAGAAATTTAAGGTTTTGCCACTGTTTCCTTCTTTCTAAGTAGTTTCAGTAGGAGATAAATCCAAAATAGCATTTGGATTTTGATTAAGTGTATTATTTAGCTGTACTGGTAATAATGATAAGAACTAACAACAGGATATAATTATACACACAAGATAAAGGATCGGATTACAATTCTAAATCATGATATTTTGCAATTAATTATTTCAGATTGAAGACGTGGCATATTTTATTTTCTGTCTTATATATATATATATATATATATATATATATATATATATATATATATATATATATATATATATATATATATATATATATATATATCGGTTTTTGATTTTGATGAATAGTACTGCTATGCTTTCTAAAATTTAGAAATTTCTGTGAAATTCTTTCAAACCGCTACTCCTCCTCCTACAGTAATATATCTTGCCACACAAGTAGACTACACTAAGACACATGATTTTATTTATTAGTTTTTGATTTTGATTAACGCTGTTGCCATGGCTACTGAAAATAGAATTTTCTGTGAAATACTTTTAAATCGCTACTCCTCCTACAGTTTAGGTCTGATTTCACCTGACGAGGAGTAAGGAAGTATATACACGTGCAAATTACAGTAAAATGGGGCCTTGGATAGACTTTTTGATGTGGGCGTTATATATATATATATATATATATATATATATATATATATATATATATATATATATATATATATATATATATATATATATATATGAGTTTTATTTTATAAACAATTACATTGCACATATGTAATGTTGTATATTAATAAGGAAGTCTATTACGAGAAATTCAACATTGAAACTCAAGTTTCAACGAGTGACGTTAAACTGATCGGTCGTTGACGGACAACAAAATATAAAAAGTAGCAAGTGGAAATTTTATTTTAAGTGAATGGTCGTAAAACGTGTAAATTACGATAAAAGCAATTATGCTTTTATTTTATTGCGATTTACTTTATTTTGAATGATATTTTCGGAAATTACACAACAGCCTTCTAGATCTGCTAGATTTCGAGAAATTATGTACATTTCCAGATGATATATATATATATTTCTGCACAGCTGTAAGCATGGAAATTTCCTGCACATTTTTCGAACTTTCCAAGTATAAAGACTATGTATTTGAAAATTGAAACATACGCATTTTCTATCAAAACAATTGTTTTCTTCATTGAAAAATGAATCAAAAAAGAAAAAAAAGAATTGCATACTTTATCATAAATCCTTCGACTTTCATAAGGATGATTGATTATTGTTGTTTTACTCCGAGTCGCCAATATTTCAGCCATATTTCATAAAGTGTGCGATTCTTATTTTTGATTAAGTTGTTAAGGAATAAAATGATGTATATTGTCAAGCCTAATAATTTAACTTAAGATATCTGTCTCGAAAATGTCACAAGTAGTAGATCACCTTTATTAAATTTAAGTGAGTCGCAGCAGTTTAACATTTAGACGTGTTTAAAAACTGTGTTGAAGGGAAAAATACCTTGACGGATAGACATGTTTGGCATAACTTCTTGTTATTGTGAATTGAAATTTTAAAAATACAATATACATTGTGCACTGAATATATTTTTTTTTTCAGATAAATTACGTTTATCTTTTTAATGGAACACATCAGTCACTTAGTTTGCTGGTGGAAGCACTGTCCGATAGACATATTTTATCTTGTTTGAAGAGAATAACCCTACAGTTGTTTCCAAAGTCTTGTCCCATACATTTTTTCAGAATTTCAGTTTGATAGGTTATTCCGAGCCCCATCACCTGGGAAAAAAGTAAAAAAAAAAGTTCCATAGTTGAATGAATATTGGTTAAAACTGTACTAATGTAGTGTTTACATTTAGATTATGTTAACAAAATTGAAAGAAAAAAATATGGGAAAGTAAATTATGTGTATGCCATAGGCATAACGGTAGGTAATATACCCCAAAACAAATCATGCTAAGAATAGAAAAGACTTTTGTGAAAAAAAGATTTCAAACGATCACGATTACGGTTACTTGCCTGATCGAAAAAGCCTAGAAAAATGGGATGCATATTTTCTGCTTTCATCGTCCATTTTAAGATACGCAAACATCTCACTCACAAGTAGTGCCATATCAGGAAACTCTTTGCAAAGTTTTTCAATAGCAGGCATGTGCTCGATCAGTGGAGAAAATTGGAGATCTAGTCTTGAGATATAGAAAACGTGTAAGTAGTACTGCTTCAACCTAGCTTTTAGTTCCTGCTTTTGTGATAAAATTTCTTGTTTAAGTTCTATGTCCTCTATGTTTCTTATATCTAGTAAATCTTCTTGGATTGCATGTCTTATACAACGAATGCATGTTTCTATTGTAAGAGTAGAGAGAATTTTATTTCTTCTTTCATATTCACGTAGGCTGTATTCGAACAAAAATTCAGCTATTGATGAAAAATCCTCTAATGCATCTTTTGGAACGTCTAACCAGTTGATTCTATCATCAACAGCCCAAGGTATAACTTTTGCCAAGGACAATTCAGTTATCTTCAGATATGAATCAGCCATGCATGTACCAAAGTCTTTGTCGTACATTCTTGCAAGTATTACTCGAGACGATTTCTGTCGCATTTGATCAATGGCACTGCAGAAAAAATCATGAAGGTTTGGCAATGTGTGCTTGCTTACAATTTCAGGTATCAGTTGTGTCTGTCTGTGCATATCATTCAAAAGATAATATGCTGTGGTATAGAATCCATTTTTTGAGAGAACCTTGGCAACACGGAAGGACCCTGGGATAAGAGTGTTTTTAGTGACAGAAACTATATCCCTTGTTTCGACGAATTTTGTAAGGTTTTTGAGAGAATCTCTCACTAATTTTGTTGCATACAAAAATCCATGCTTCTCAGCAACAAACTGTAAAATGGTAGCAGGAAATACCCTTATGGACTCAATAATAACACAGAAGGTGTCAATGTCAGTTGGTAAAAAACATTCAAGCAAATTAATTTCAGGTATAAAATGATGCGGCAATAATCTGCGCTTGAGGCAGGAAACTAACTCACAGAAGACAAATAACACACAGCCACTGAAATTCGTATCCCAAGCAGAAGACGGGATTTCTTCACACGAATTTAAAAAAATAGCCTTAAGATGCTTTGTTTTCAGTCTACTTTCATGATGGAAAGTCATGTTATCAATTAGAATTTTAAAAATCATGAATCCATGTTTCTGTGAGTGAGTGAAACTTTTGAATATCATATGTTCTGCAATGGTAAAATTGTATTTCCATTCAATTGCTGGGTTTTCACTTTTGGGATGTGCCTTGGGAATAAGCGTAAAAGAGATACTCATCATTGAATTTAACAGTTCTTGAGATGGGAAGTCAAATTTACGAGTTTTGGTCAACCAGAAATAAGCTATTGGAAGAAAAGGGCAAGGAAATCCAATGTATTTAATTTCAATGTTCTGTGATAGTTTTGAAGTTAAATTTGAATTTTTGGGAACATTGTAAGCTTGTAAGTAAGATCCAGATTCTGTTGTGATGACGTTTTCATCAACCAGTGGGATATGATTTGGAGGCAGTTTTAATCTACAATATCCTGGGTATGTATGTAAATCGTCAAAATAAACACCAGGTCCTTTTCGAAGTTCTGATGGGATAAATGGGGGCAATACAGGCGTGTCAATTTTTACAACAACCACATTGGCCTTCTTCATGGTTTGGTTGTAATACGCTGTCATATACTGTGTTTCGGTAATGTCTTTCAGGGAAAAAATGCTTCCGTCTGCATGTGACCCTATGAAGTGAAAATAAGTTCCTTCTAGTTGTTGAAGAAATCCCTCTGGGTCTTTAAAGACGTCAATCATATTGAAGGGTATGAGGTGCTTCAGGATAAATGACAAATGCGGTAAAGGAATTCCAGACACCTGGTCAGTGTGCAGAGGATCCTCAATCATACACTGTTGAGAATCTAAAAGGAATGTTCATTAGATTAATAAGAAATACTGTGAAAGATTAAGAGTACTTTTTATGATAACTAAATTGAATTCTGGCCTCTTGAAGTGTTCAACAAGATTTTTGTAAAAAGATTAAATACTAGTAGTTGAAATCACGTAGGTATAATGCAATTAAAGAGGTGTTAATTTTACATAAAGTGTTACAAAACGGCATATGAAGAAAGCCGAAAATGATGTGTTCAAAAACAGCTACTGTAGCAAAATCCTACAAAAACTGTCTTGGTTGCTTTGTGTCCCGAAACTTTATTCGTTTGTTGAACATTTATTCTATATTTTCATTGAAAATCATGCCGTGTTCGCTCATACCATGGTTTTTTTAAATATCAAATACTGATCACTCTTATTGATCAGAGTGGTCTTTAACAAATTTATTCCACTCCTACATATTTTACCACGACATTTTACATGTCTAGTGTATACTAATATATGTACTACAACTAATTTTCATAATATTCCGTTTTTCGTACCCTATCCTAGGCCTATGATCAGGGATCTTCACAAGAGAATAAAATGACTCGAATTACTAACCATCGATTGAATATGACCAATTTATATAATTAATATTTACCAAGTGATTAACTTGGTATCATATTTTCCGTTTTCCGTTCCATTCCGCTTTCCGTTCCGCGTTTTAGCAACGCCCATCCTCTAAGGCAGTCTTAGAATCAAAGTACTGAAAGTACTGGGAAGCGCTAAGCAATGTTTGCAATTTGAAATTCATCACAATTATTTTGCATTAAAATTGCCTATTGTTTTTGAATAAGTAATTATATGTTGACAATTCGACCGCTAGGGCGAGCACAGTTGTTTGATACATATTCACTTCAAAATAAAACTTGTATTCGCCTCTTTGTTTAGCACCGAAAGCTTATGAAAAAAAGTTTGTTTAATGTTAAAATGCATTCCCTGAAATTATGGTAAAAAGTTCATTCGGAGCAATGTGCACAATCCGAATTTACTCTCCGGCGTTCCTTTAAGAGCTAGTTTGCAGTTACATGTATGTGCAGCACTCGCTTCTAGTTTTCTTTTTCTTAAACATTATTACAATTATGCAAATTTATCCTTACGTCGCGGGTTCGAATCCGACTGTGGGATGTGTAGACCGGTCTTTTGGATGGTACCGTATAAACCGAGATTACGTGTCGCAGTAGTTGTTGGTACAAAAAAGATCCCTAACCGCCCCAAGTGCGGAGCATGGGTTTAAATTTGCAGCCCTCTACAGCTAAGTGGTGGCGTCTCAATATGAATGAAAAATTCTCGAAAAGACGTTATAAATACACAAAAAACAAACAATTATTCGAGTTTATAGAAAATTCAAGTGCCAGTCCTAATTTGCTGAACTTCAAATTAAAACGGCTTAGCCACAATTCCTGGGGTGTCTCGGTTTACACTTAATTTTATTCAATATCGCCTTAGGAGTCCAAAAGAGGTAAATATAGCTTTGCATATAAATTGCAAGCGATTGGAGGGTGAAAAAAAATGATCTGCGAGTTTTCCGACCAAATTCAGATTATACATGTAGCTATACATTTCAATGCTGGAAAAGGCATGTATATTTTGAGCAATTTTGAACACTTGAAAATGTCGCCGATATTCTTCTCATTAATATGCAACACTGACATCTAAAATGATCTGGTGATAATTTTTAATAATAGAATTTATTCCGTGTTTACGAGTGTTTCAGATTGAAGATTGGTTGTTTGTGACTGTGAATTTATTTGTTAGAAATTTAAGTTCACTCGGAAAAATAAGATGTTATTTATTATTGCTTCGATGAAATAATTCCTTATTGATAACAAATATATTAAAGTTATGAACAAAACATAACTAAATATTCTGTCTGAATTGTTTATAGTATATTTCATTTTTTTCTTATATTCATAAGCGATTTATAAATTTATGATTTTATATATAGAAAGGATTTTACAAGAAGTACAATCGATAGAATGTGCAAATTATTTACACAATCGCCGATATTACTAGTAATTAATAAAACTTAGACTATTACAATATTTTGTTTTGAATATGCAAAATCTGTGCATTACTCATTTCATTCATCGCGCTGTGCAACATATCGGCATTATCATGTGACAAAAATCTAAGAAATTAGCATCCGAAGAGTTTTCGTCATTAATTGTGTCAGAGATAATTGGTAAATATATATTTTGAGTATAATGTATTTTTCTTCTTCGTTTGATGATAAAACATTCAGGACTATCCTTTAATCTCTGACTTTCATTTACATGATTTAATGTATTTGCACAACTCACATACAAAGCACCATATTTGTCATTAATATTTCCGAGAAATTAGTTTTCCTCTCTAAGTGGATAAGGTGGAAACACAGCCACTACGTGCCCTTTATGTACATACAACCGCAAACTGCCTTTCTTTGCGAATTATTTACATAGTATTTTTTAGCCATGTTACAAGTACAGATAACAACACGAGTATAGAGTCCATGAATGCATTCCAGTCTGTTACTAATTGATACTAAGATTCGAAAATCAACATCATTAATAGCTCTCTGCATGGTGCAAGGGTTTATAATACCAAGACTTGTTTTTAGTTACATTGCCTGAAATAAGGATCTAGAAAAAATATTAGTATGAATATAAATTATATAGAACGTAAGTATATTGTAAATCAATTTTATGCGAATTTGTTTTTACTAAATAACTTGAATTCATTTAGAGTTTTATAAATTATGTACTTATTCAATCACTACATTACGTGACATATAATAAACCTTTTTAAGTTATCTGCAAGATATATGTGTCTTTACTTCGAATTACTCCTGCAGCAACTGTTAGATATTAGTGTGTGCCGACATGATTTTTAAATGAACTACAATGTATAGAAATAAGAACCGGTCTTATCCACTATCAGCGGATTTTCGTACTCACTATCTTACTAATTGACACCTATACATGTAATTAGAAGTGCACGTAAAGCAGTGTTAGATCAAAAGAGCCGATTGAGAGTCGATGATTTCCAGTTGCACATTTCTAGAAGACTCAGTGGAGTTATCTAACTTGCTTAGTGGCGCTGGATCGCGAACGGAAGTAGTATTAAGATGCCAGTAAGCGCTTTGCGCTGCGCTTAGCGCTTAAAAATGGGAGCTTATAGTTTCCCCTCACGATTGACTATAGAACGAATGCTATAGTGTAAAGAAAATCCTTAGATATTGTACTGGTATAATTAAAGTATCTCTATCTATTTACAGATTTCATCTTTATTAAAATGTAGCAAATTATAAAAGTTTCAATGGCATCCTCTAACCTTCTATTTCCTCCAAAAGAAGTTCTTGTCCGCTGTAAGTTTTGAATATATCATCAGTGTTATTGTCTGTTTTATCTTTATTGATATTTATTCTCTCCATTTCCTGTGACACATATTCAGCAGTTTCGTCTATTTCACTTTTTGAAATATATTTTCCAGTTGGCATGCCTCTAACACTCTTCTTGAGAAAACTTTGCTTAAATTCTATATCCAGATCATCAGAACTCTTCAGTATCCGAAAAAGCAATGCTTCTGAAATAAAATTGAAGTGATGCATTTTAAATTTTACAAATGATATCAAAACAAAAAAAATACTACAGATTTCGTTGGCATACACGACAATTATGTCATATTAGCATGCAAGATAATATCCTTTAGGAAAGGTAAGACTTTGTTAAGATGTAAAATACTAATTAAATGCAAAATTTTTATGTTTTCGTTTTGTTAACACCATGATGCAACTTATTTTTGTTAACACACATCTTTTTTCTGTTAACAGTCAGCTTAAAGTTGCATAATGAGTCAAATCCATGTGTTTCTTTTAAGAAAATTGTATCACAAAACAAAAGATTTCTGTGAAATATGAATATAGCGAAGTTTTGACAACTCAACTGCACTGTAAAGCAAGAAAAAAAACTGCAAAATATAAGTGCCGGATACAAATGTCGTATCTATCACTTTCTTTTTATCGTCAATGTCAACAATGTCAAGGTCACACTCCTTTATTTTTAGCGTGAAACTTGTAAACAACATTGAATTGGGGCAAGCAGAAGTTAGGAATAAGTTATGATCATCTTTTTTGAAGATTGTATCAAAATTCTCTGTCATCCGACATTTATATGTATGGAGTTGCAACCATGGTAAATTCTTTAACTTTTCAGCGCATGCGTACAATAAAGAGGAAGAAGTGAGGCAATATTTTTGTGATGGGTTATACAAAGATTTTTTTTACTTTTATTTTTCTTCATTAAATTAGATTTTTTAGGTTCTGAAACCTGTAATTTTCTGAAACCTAATATCTTCAAGAACTGAACAAAATTTGCATGTGTCATGCAAAAATTCTACTGTTGTCAATTTTCCCGTTTGTCCGCCACAGTGTCACTTTAAATGCTATCTTCCATATTGACATAAATGAATTGCATTTTGACAAAATTATCTCATATGTTACGTATTAGTAATCTATAGAAAGTTAACTTAGATATAGGTTGATGAAATATGCCACTATTTTCTAGTACACAGAAAAAAGATTAAATTTTGAATTCAGTGCTCGTTATTTCTCATGTAAAAGCATGCACCAAGTCTCATTAACTCAAGCGGAAATTGGCCTAGAGGGTGCACAACTCTCATTCAAAAATTAAATATTTCTGTGGAAAAAATAAAGATCAAAGGTAGCAAGGAGGTTTACTGTAAGGCCAATGTAATCGCCATTTTCTTGGACGTAAACTCAAATAGTGGAACTCCCCAAGGTGACCAAGGTATATTTTCAGTTTCTTCTGAATCTTTTCATTGGACTTTGTAGTAACCTCTGTTCTTCTTATGTCATCTTGGTAGACGTTAAAAATGATGACTTCTAGCAGAAATACATCAGCAAGGGCTTGAAGGGCTATATGATCACCCCATTCTCCCGGTCTCTCCATTCTTGCGAGGTATTCCTCCCATGTTTCATCTGTTAGGAAGGAAGAAGGATGATCCCCATTCTTTTTTCGAGGGTTTATGTTAAGATGACTGAAAGAAAGATTCTTTTAATTTTGACTTCCTCTATAACTTTACTCTATAACCTGTTGTTCAGTTGTTGCTTAATATATTAGTAACTATGAAACCACAGTGAAAGCAAGAACAATTTTCTCCCATAACATTCGTATTATGTGGTAATTTGAACACATGCAGTGCTTACAATACGTGCTTACTGAATGGTGGTTTGCCTCAAGGAGATCCCAGTGTGTCCTGGAGACCCATTAATCATTAATTGATCTGCAATTGCACTGAAAAGGCAGTTGCCATCTGATATCACATCCTGTATCTCGAAGTCATTATCACTTGCAAATCTATGGATGGATCTTTGAAATATTGGCATATTATTGAATTGTTCTACTCCCCTACCTGAAACAGCAACAAACAGTAAATTTTTTTTATGGAAATTCCATGTGTTTTTGAATTTAATCTAACAGTAATTCGCTACAACATCTCATATTTAAGAGAACTGGTCGTGGCCATTTTTTAGACCATTTAAATCTCCTTGAAAACATCTAAAAGAGCGTTGAATCAATTTTAGGAAATGGCAAGGGATATCGCAAGTAACTTCTTTTTTTTTTTTTACTAAATAATAGCCTATTGCTAGAAACAAAATCGAATTTCATTATTGTAGGTGTTTCTGTTTGATATTTAATTGACCATTCATCCTTCTTTACTTTTTTCACTTCTAATGGATATTTCGTTCGAACATAGAAAGAAAATAATATATATCTATATCTCCCTGTCCCTGTAGCTTTTGCAGATGACTTCATATATCTCTGTCCATCCCTTTCCTTATCCTCCCGGACTTTATGATTATTCCAGTATTCATCTTCGCTATCATAGTAATCTGTATCGTCTACTTCAATGATTTCCTCTGGCTTTGAATCAGAAACTATTTTACTTTTCTCTGAAGTGTCTACTGCAAAAGAGTTGTCCAGGGTATCTGAGTCAAGTGATTTATTGACTTTGCTAAAAGAAAGGGGATTTTCCAAGACCCTTGGTTTGAAATCTGATCTGTCTTTCATAAATAATGACTCCATATTTTGAAATATTGGTTCCTTCTCCCCTGCTGAACTTGTCGGTAAAGAATCATCATCAGTATGTTTTTCATGAAATACAGATGGATCAAACAGTGCGTTTTGAAAAACTGTGTTTTCATCACATCCTTTTCTGCAATTGTCTTCATTTAACTCATAGTAAGGAAATGCCGTTCGCGTTTTTTCCTTTTCAATCAACTGTATATTGCATTTAGACATAATAATAATTGCAATTATAACGTTCTAGCACTTGTTGAACAATTCTTCTGGATCTTAGAATGTGATTCTCAGACAAATGAACTTACCAGTATTATTACGAACACTACACTAAACTTCCCTTTCATAGAATAAAATAGATTTTCTAATTTTAAATAAGGACGGAATTACTTTTCTTCACAAATTTGCTTCTGTCTCTTAACAAAAATATATGAACATCCCTTAAAACTTCCTGATTCACACTTCACACTTTATTTTTATCCTCTTTCGGGGAAGTTTTTATCAATAAGCTGTAGTATTCTCCTCAGAAAAATTTCCTTAAACATATAAGGGAATTCACTATTTTTTTGGGGTGGGGTGGGGTGGGGTGGGGTGTAATAATCGATGTTTTCAAGATATAAAGATACTTATGAATTTATGTTATCAACAAAATGGTGAAATATCAACTTCAGTATCTTTCTTGGTCTTCAACCACGAACTAATATTGTTTATTCAAACCACAGAAATTTGACCCCATGAAATTAAATGATTTTACAGTATTAGATGTTTTTGAAATTAATCTCTATTGGTGGTTATTTGATTTCCTTCAATTTTCAGGAATATTTATGACAAAATATGGTTTACTAATTGTTTCAAGACATAAAGGGTAAAATAGATCAAAATGATGGCTTTATCAATGTTCCTGACTTCAGCACCTTTCCAACACTGTGTAAGGTATTTAACTTAATATGTTTATAATAATTACTTTTGTAAGAAATCGATCATGTTACAAAGAATTGCACATCGTCCAGTTGGTCTAGGTCACTTATATGTAAAAGGTGAACATATAACGAAAAGTGATTAATCTCAAAAAGCCAATTAACGAAACGAATCGTGAACAGGGCAAACACACGGACGGATGGAAATACTAGAGGTGGGATCAGGTGTCCAGGAGGAGTAAGCATCCCCTGTTGACCGGTTCATCCGTCGTGAGCCCTATGTATTGATCGGGTAGACAGAGTACTTCGTATTCAAATTTAGTATAAAGCAATGACCTAACAAATGGTATGAAGCAGACAAAATACGACCGGACGATAGCTTGTATTGACAAACAAGTCATTATTACGACCTTAGAATTTGCGAAAAGCTGACTTTTAACGGGGTTTTTACAATTCTTGTAACATCAACTGATTGTCAGTAGCTTACGTCGGTTTAAAAATTGATCGTACTCAGAGCATGTAATTGTGTATTGAATAAGTGGAAGACATTAACGCCAGATGCAGGTGATGTTGGAAAATTACTTCATACATAAGTTAGAGGGATTTGGAAACATCCAAACATGAAACAGGTGTGGCAGATTCTGTAGTGTTATTATGAGTTCACTGGAATGTATCGGGTCTACATATGAAATGAAAGTAACTATTGTCAATTGATTAAACGTCATCGATTTTTCTAATGTCGGATTGAAGGCCACAGCTAGCGTTTTCTTCTCATGTAGAAGTTTTTGAATAAAGTCTGTTTCATATGAATATAAAAACAGGTCGGCTTATATAGGAGAACAATTAGTGCCCAAAGCAATTCCATTAAATTGTTGGAATACCTGATCTCCAAATACTAATTGATATTCTTAATGAAAATCCCAGCGTCTTTTTAATATCAACTTCAGAGTACTTGTATGTAGAATCAGAATGATGACCAGTCACATGCTATTAAATTAAAGAATTCCGTTTTTATTGAGGAATCAGTTGTTTTTGTGTCAATATATCTTTGCTTGTAAGGATTTTCATGAGGTTTTGGAATCTAGGTACGATAAATAAAACTCACTTCCATTGCCTGGTATGTGAAACGTCTTTAAAAGTGAAAGGTGAAGAAAATCATCTTTTGAAGGGTAAATGTGAGTATGGGTTGGATTACCAGATGTAGAATTAAAAACAGAGTTTTTCTAAAATGCAGCAGTAATAATAGGCCTTACAAACAAAAACGATATTGTTACAAGCTTTGTCAGTTGGAATCGAATAATTTTTTTCAGTGATGTAATTTAATCTTTAATTTTAAATTAATAAGCACTCAACCAAATCAAAACAATACTTCAAACGGAAGTACGTCATAACACGGATGTATCACCTACTGTAAGACTTTTTGACCGAGTGTCAAGGTCTTCCTCTTCATATTTAGCCATGGACTAGCAAAATCTTCAACAGAACTCATAAAAGAAATAATGTTCTGTCGCCATTTGAAAGATCTGGACTTCCTGATTTTAGGACCTTTTAAACGCTAGTTGATGAGAAAGATTGCGCTAAATTTTGTATGTAAGTGTATCTGCAATTTGCGACATTAGACCGAAATAAAACATAAGTCATTCGTTGGATTATCATATGCTAGAACTCCACTTTCCTTTTCGATAAAGAGCCATGAATAAGCAATATTAATTGATTTTATGTTGTTTTACGTCCAGTTCGAGAATTTTTCACTCATATAGAGATGTCACCATATACCGGTGAAGGGCTCCAAATTTAGACCTTTACTCGCCTCTTAGGACCATTGAGCAGTGAGGGATCTTTATCGTGCCAACGTCTGCCGTGACAAGGGGCTCGGTTTTTAAGGTATCATCCGAAGGACCCGCATCTTTCACTTCAAAGTGCCGAGCGACTGGCGAAGGAACAGTTGCTACATATTTTTATCGACTTAGGTCAGTCGTGGCCAAGATTCGAACTCACGGCCTTCCGATCACGGAGCGAATTAGAAAGAAAAATAGTACGTTGTTATTTACAGTAGGCGGATCTAAGTTACTGACAATTTGTCATGAAACTGACAATAAACATTCATTTAATTATTTTATTAAAACGTCATTAATGAATTATTTAATCAAACTTGATTGAAATAAGTTGTGATAACTGTTTAAAAGACAAAATGTGCAAATCGTTTTTGTCAATCGCCGATCTTATAATTAGTCTAGATGGTAATTTCTAGAAGGTCAAATGGCATCGAACCCGATGTAGAAAAAAATCTTTGGTGTGAAAAGGCATGGAAATAATAGTAAAGTAAATGAAAAGTTAATTTTTTACCAAGGAAATAAAACAAAATAATGTGCTGACGAATTCCGTAAAATGTGCACATTCGCTTCTTTTATCCTTGATGGATAAAGAAACAGAGCAATTAATGAAATTGACATTTTTCAGATTTGATAAAAAAAAAAAGAAAAAAAAGAAAGCGGAGGGGCATATATCTACTATCCGCCAACTGTAAATAACAACGTACTATTTTCTTTCTAATTCGCTCCGTGATAGGAAGGCCGTGAGTTCGAATCTTGGCCGCGACTGACCTAAGTCGATAAAAAATAGGTAACAACTTCCAGGACGAACTAATTGGGCTATTTTTAACAAAGTATATTTCTTCTTGTATAGGCCTGAAATTAATTGTCAGTAGAAACTGTAAGATATATTATTTGAATTGTTCTGTCAGCAGTGGTTAAAAAATGCTCTAATGCTGGATTTTTTTGTAGTTCATGATAAGATAGGGAGTGTGGAAAACCAAAAACATTCACTGCGCATGTGGTAACTGTTGCCCAATAAAATCGATCGTGTATAATTTTCAGTTGCCTTTTTTCTGATTGTTGTATAAAGGGCATTCCATACCCTTAATCGTGTAAAAGAATTCGAATCTGAGTATTTTTTTTATGTTTGCGAAGAAATCTTTTAAACTATTCACAAGTTTTACTAATGCGTGCATTTTTATGTCACACTTTTACATTTCTGGTTCATGCTCGTGTTTAAAATCGCTATCGATGTGCAAAAAATAATTTTGATGCAATCGACGTACCATACTTTTTATACTACATGTATTTTTAACGTGACTATGGGAATATTTTTAGTGTCTTTATCAATTGTAAGTGGATCATGTACAATATGTAGCATTGATAACAATTTAAGACAGAATATCCCATTGAAGTGATGTTGTATTGTCGGACTGAAGAGCCTCAATTAAGAACAAGGGATATTTTCTGTAGTGTCTATTTCTGATGAAAGCTGGATTATAATGGCGTCGAAAAATATTTCTCAAATGATAGAAAAGGAAGTGTGGAGGACTGCTTTCATTGGTTCACGGAAAGATAATGATTTAAGAGAAGATGGTGACGAAGACGTAATATTTGAAAATACATTTATTGAAATAGAAAATCATGCATCTATTGATTTGAAGTTAGACACCCTGGATAGAAATATTGGATTTGACGGTTCAGAAGGAGGTTTAAGAGAAAACATACAGTCAACAGAAAATGACAAAAAGTTTTGCTCCAGGATTGGGTTTTCATCTTCAGTGCAGGACAATGTAAGAAGAGACCATAAAGGTTTATTGGTCGATGATGCTTACGACAAAAACATTGATGAAGTAGATTACTTTGATAAGGATGAAGAATACATGGAAACTCATGGACAAAGATTCGACGTGGAAGACATCTTAGATCTTTATGAAAACTCGATTAACAAATCATCGAAAAGTAGATATAGTCAGTATATATGTATAAACCATTTATTTGTCTTAATTATGCATACTTCAAAGAATTCTTTAGTTTGTCTAGTTATTTGCAGTCTCAAATAACACGAAAAATCTTTACGGGAAAAAAGTTTACTCGTAGTTTAGTAAAAAAAAAAACTTAGCATTTCCAATATTTTTTACAATGAGTTAAAAAAAAAGCAAATTGTATTGTGATATTATAAGAAGGCACACAATTAATTTCTAACATGTTTCCCTGATTTTTATGTGATTGATTGACTAATTGATTATTTGTGATATTCAGCAGTATTTCAGTCATATTTTGGTGGTGATTTTTTAGTTGCAAAATTTCCCCAACTTATTACTTTATCTATGTATGACTGCAATTTGCTTACCTCTTGCAGGCGAAGGAGTGGAACAATACAAAAACATATCTGTATATAGAAGGTCAATACAAAACTTTGCCACAACCAATCGTTTTGAAATTTATGACGTCAGTCCTGATGGAAACTGTATGTTTCGGGCTATCGCTGATCAATTCATGATCAATGGTAGGATTGGGTATACCGCTGATCGATTACGATGTACAGCAATAGAGTGAGTATTCTGACCTCAGGCATTGCTAGAAGCACCATGATGTTTTAAAAAAGAATCAAATCTATCTTCCAATGTATGATTTAAAAAAACCCAGATTTAATCGGTTGATTATAAAAGCATCAAATAATGCTTCTTTTTGTCGTCTCATGTGCATGATGATATTTAATATCCCAAGTTTGTTTCAAGTTCAAGTCGTCTTTACCATGCATTACAGACTAAGACCTTAAAACTACACTGCTAACCTTTTATTATGTTTGTTTCATTTTTCCTTCTCAACAAGTTTTTTAAGAGAGCAACATAACACAGAAGATGGTAATCATATCCAGTCCTTTCTGTGTAGCGAGTCGTGGGAAGATTATCTCTCCAGAATGTCCAAATCGAGTGAGTGGGGTGATCACATAGTTCTCCAAGCTGTAGCTGATGCCTACAACTTAGACGTCGTTGTCTTTAACGTCTTCCAGGACGACATAAGGAAAACTGAAGTTCATCCACAAATGGAAAGCAAAAGAAAACCAATGACTATTTTCTTAGGGCATATAGGAGAATTTCATTATCTGAGTTTGCGCCCCGACCATTGGACATCTTGGTGGCCCTACAGTAAGCATATTTTTTATTTCCTCTTTGCACCGCAACCAAAGGGAATGTTTCCGTCTGAATCTGTTTACTGTAGTTTGAATTATCTACATTGAAAATCTAGACATTGCCTAATGCTTACATTTTATTTGGGACTACAAATATATACACATACCAGATTTGTATGATTTATTCTTCTTTCTATAACAAACTCTAACTACAGTTGAAACAAAACTGACTTCATATTTATTAGAATATTCATTTAAGGTAGTCCGATCCTCTGGTTCTGAAAATCAGGAGTTTGGTAATTGAAAATGCTCACAAAAATGTCTCTGAATTCTCATAGTATTATGTATTTACTCATGGTACTTCTTCAAAGTTCATCATTATAGTTTATCATATTATATAGGGAAAATTATCAAATCTCAAATATATATTTTTAGGAAATGCGAATAAAAGCACCCGCTATGCATTTTCTAATTGAAAATTGATCAACAATTATATTTCAGGATAAAAAAAAATTATAGGTATCCAGACATTTGGAGAAAATTTCATGCTTTTTATACTTATAGAGTACTTAAGTTCTTCTATTTGCTTCAATTGTTATATAATTCAATTCTTTTTATAAGACGGTATTTAATTGGATAAAAAAATATTTTACAATCGTATAAACTGGGTTGCCTACGTCACAATGAATTGCGCCAGAAAAGTATCGATCCGCCTAAAGTTATATTTCAATTTTGTTCAATTTGAAGTCATTTTTAAGAACAATCAACTTTTTTTCTTACACTAAATGAATGAAAATTAAATTAAATTATAAGAAACGAATTTAATGGCTACCCAAATTATACGGTATAAACTTGGTTGGACAGTTTACGCTTTAAAAACCGCGAATTCCTTAAATAATACAAAGTATATAACCTTTGGGCTTTCATTGTAAGACATCACAGATTACTTGTAATTTCATGTAATGCTTATAAATATTGGTATCTAAGGCTAGATTAAATTAAATTTGAATTCTCTATAAATGTATTTATTTTTGTACTGTTATAAGGTACAAATGTCCACTTTTGACAAGACCGTTTCTAAGACTTCGATGAACCCCGAATCACATTAAGATGCTTGAAATGAAAATTGATGCACGGAAAGTTTTAAATTTTTAGCTTAATCTTGAGGCTTTTTAAAATAAATAATAATTTTAAGAGTTATCCTTAATGGCTGTGGAGCGGATTTCCTCAAGGATGGTGTATTGTAGAATCGATTGTATATTTTCAAATATTAAAAAATTTTGTATCACATTTGATCTTCATTTCACTATGTTTTTCAGAGTCCCTCTTGTTTAGGGTACAAATTTTGTCTCACAATCTATCACCAAAAGAAAGAGAAAAACTCATTCAGAACAAAATAAAAGATATTGCAGCTAGTGAAGTAGTAACCCAGGATGAATATTTAGACAAATTTCAACCTCAGACAGAAGAAAGAGAGGAGAAGCCTAACGTCGATAAAGGTCATACTCGATCTGCGGAAATTCATCAAAATACCAACCTGACATATTTTGAGTCATACTGTATAGATGAATTGCAACTTGAGGAGACAGAAGGTAACGAAATAAAAATGATTTCTTTTATACTTTAATAGTTAATATCTTAATATTAACGTTTTATCAGATTATTGGATGCATATAAACAATATTATATGAGAGATAGAAAAAATTCAATGAAGACAATTTTGTATCATATATCTGACTGCTGCTTACTATACATTTAAGCTAATTTCATCCTATACTTTCAGAGTCTTTGAACAGTGTCTTCTTTGATCCCATGCACATTGATGTTTTAACTGGGATTCCACTCCCTCATTTAACCTACATCCTCAAACAGTTGTTCCCGCTTTATATGATAAATCCATATGTCGGGCCTCGTGCCATGCTTATATTTCAAGACATTTATGTTCATTATATTGGATGTTTTGCGGATGGAAACAATTTCGTTTTAAAAGACATCAGCAAAAATCAAACAAAACGTGCTTTTTATAATATACATATTCAAAAACGAGTTGGAGATGTCGTTCTAATTCCCAGGGACAAACATGTGCAGCACACTGATTTAACTGGTGTCTGGTCACCAGTGGTAAATATTTATGCTGATTCATCAAAATCACATCCAGGTTATTGTCGGTTAAAGCTGTCACCAAACACAACAGGATTAAACGAAAGATGCATAGTTCAGAAAGAATCTGAAAAGTTTCTAAAAGAAGTACAAGTAAATGATGTCTCTCTTCCCGGCAATGTCAATATTAAGTACAGAGGACTACTCTGTGAGACGCTTCCCCCTTTGGCACAGGAATGGAGAGTTCGCGAAAGAAAATTTACATTTCCCTCGCGGCGCATTATTCGTTCAATTTTGGACATTAAATGTACATTGATTAAAAAAGCACATCCTCAAAGCAAGGAACCTGACATAGAATGGAAGTACAACTTTTCTATGGCTGAACAGATAATTTTCAAAATCGGTCTGACAGAATCTCAGCTTCATGGGTTCCTTGTTTTTAAAGTATTGATGGATAACGCAACGTTTCTTCTATCGAAACGGTTGAAAAACAAGCATTTAAAAGCCGTTTATTTCAATGCACTGGAAGACATACCTTGTGAAGCTTGGGAAACCAATTTCAGTGGATGCATTTTATATGTCCTAAGTTTTATGATAACCCTTTTAAAGGCCAGATTCCTTCCACATTATTTTATACCAAGTAACAATCTTATCGACTGCTTTTCTCTTGCGGAAATTGATGCTATTTGTGTCAATGTTGAATGCATCCGCATGTTTCCTGTGGCAGTCATTCAAAACATAGCAGAAAACCATGGTTATAGTTATGCACCAAAGCTGATTAAGATGGTCTTTGCAAATTGTAAATCTTTTGTAGCCAATAAAAACTTGGCGACAGATTTTATCAGTGCTTTCACACCTGGAACTTTGTCTTCTGTTAAGGTCATGACAAGACTGGGATTTTATGAAACTGCGTTCCAACTACTTCAGTATGTTCATGAACAAATGCTTCTAATGCCGATGACAGATGATTGTTATGAAAAACCATGTTTCATGGATTTCTTTCATACAGCTTTGAAAAGCCTACATCAAAGATCATCACGAATTATTTTGGCAAAATTATGTGACTTGAAATTTAAGACTGATATTTTAAGTGAATTAATAGACAAAAACAAAACATTTGCGAGAGATGTCTTACCCTGGGAGGTAGACTATAGGGTTGAGTGGACAGAACTGCCAAAAGAAAAGGTCACAGATTTTTCAGCACTAGCTGACATCTTTTACTCATACAGCTTGAGAGAGTATAATAAACGAAATTCAACGCTAGCAACACTGGCTCTTGAAACAGCTATACCGTGTATCCATAAGGCAATCGAAGAGGTTTCAATAAACGTGGATGAAATACAGGATCAAAACCTCAGAGAGGAAATAATATCCCAAAGAGACAAATTTGTCATGGATCAAAAAAAAAGCTTAAGATGTACTATATTCAAATGATGGCTATATCAGAGCAGTATTGTACTTTTGTTCCATTACAAAATCATATGGACGATATTGAAAAACTGTGTGACGAGCTGCCAGAAATGGCAGAAATTGCTAGTATCATGTTTCAATTTCTTAAAAGAGATGAGAAAGCTTCAGAATATAAAAGCAAATCTGAGGCCTATTTCAAAAAGGAAGGTACTGCATATGTAAAGTATATTGTTTAGTATTGTTCAGCCAAAATATTGGACGATGCTTAAGTTACTGACCAAACTAAGCTTAAATAATCAAAAATGAAAACAACGTGGCAGCCATTTGTGTAAAATTTTAAGTAATTAGCTTATATTTTCTATGAAAGTATGTTTTAAGTATATATAAAGAGATTGTACATTAAATGTGCTTTAAAATAAAATTAATTATATTGTAATGTGTATTGGTAACGATCCTCTAATAAAACTTTAATATCCAAATAAGTGTATCTCACTTCCATTCTCAATGATCGTATAGTGTAGGGCGGCGCCGTGAGAATTTCATCGGCATCGAAAGCAAGTTTTTTAGAGGACATCCTTTTAAATTGAATTTCTCTCTGTGCTCTCTCTCTCTCTCTCTATATATATATATAAGATATTCTTTCACACAGTACTTACCTATTCGCATAAAACTGTTACCAGGAAGGTTAATTTTTTTTTTTTAGATGATTTGTTATTATAAATAAGGTTTTTTTTTTCAAAACGTATCATTAAAACAGGGTTAATAAACACCTTTTTAAGTTCTAATACAGTATTTCAGAAATATAAGTGTATTTGAATAAATTGCTGAAGAATATATTTAAAAAAAAAGTTGTCATTGAAAAACAAAACATGAATGAAAAATGTAAATTTAATACGGTACCAATGTTGATGCACCAGATGCGCATTTCGACAAATTATGTCTCTTCATTGATGCTCATGCCGAAACGTTGGAAATCCGAAATATTGAAATAAATAAACAGATAAATAAATGAATATATTTAAAAAAAAAACTTTGATAGCTGACAAAAAAGGGGGTGCCAAAGACTGGAACCAAATACGTCGAAGGATCAGAGCTATGCGTGAGGGAGATAATCCCTAATTTTCAAATAAATTTCTAAATTTTACCACAGAAATTAAATATATATCCGTATTTTCAAGCTAGTACCGAAGTAGTTAGCTACTGGGCTATAGAGAACAACGGGGACTAACAGTCCACCAGCAGAGGCCTCGACCCAGGGGTCATAATGTATATTTTATATGGAACTAATTTTGATGCACCAGATGCGCATTTCGACAAATTATGTCTCTTCAGTGACGCCCATGCCGAAACATTTGAAATTCGAAAATGTGGAATATATAATTCAAACAATTTTGATCCAGAAAGAAAAAAAACTGTAGATGTCAAAGATGCACAAAAATAGAGTTAAATGTTTTAAAAAGAATTTGTATTTGAAACCTTATCTAATTTTGTATAATAACACATTAATAAAAAAAACCTTTGATTGAAATGAAATGGAAATTGTATGTTTTGAAAAGAAAATTCCTTGAAATACTAGAGACAAGAATTTGAGAGCTGATTATGATATTATGAAGTAAAAATCGAAGACTTACAATTGTATTTATATATTTATATTTTGTTTCAATTATAACGTGATTGATAAAGTGATGCGTGCTTTATCAAAAACAGAAATAAAAGAATATTGATACATATGACAATTTTAACTTAATACAAGGTAACATTATGAAATATATCAGACATCTCAATGTTTCCATTGTAAATTATGAAGATTACCGCTTCGAGCTTTGATTTGAATTATTTTTGCACTCATAAAGCTTAAAATTAGCGGCGTTCTTTTCTACAGGGTTTTAAGTAAAATAAAATTACAACAAATGAAAAATTTATGTAACAATTATTTAGAAAAATTATCAAATCTTCTTTGAATATCGTAATGCATTTATACTAGGATGTTGTATTGTTCAATTTTATAGTTAAAATGTATTTTTCAGATTACAAGTTAATTGAAAAAAGCATATTTATTTAAGACAAGAGTGATTGCAAAGTGTGAAAAGCAAAAGTATTGTTCAAATTCACGGAAGATTCAGATGTGTAGGAGAACTGATTAATTAAAAAATAAACTGAATAATTATTTTTGGAACTTACAAAGTTCATTTGCTTTTAAAATTCTATGGTTATAAAGGGTTTTTCATTAATTCCAAAAACTTGAGAGTTATGTTAAACCAAATTTTTTTTCAAATCTGAAAGTCGTCGAAGTTTTATTATCTTCCCACGTAGCTGTTAGTTTAACCCATATGCTGAAATTTATATATTGAACACTTAACAGAATAATGTATTCAAAAGATAAAGGAAAATTCCTGCATTACCTATTTGCTAAATTTTGATAAACATTTTTGCAGGAATATCGTTATTTATCATGCAACCGCCACTTGCATTGACCAGATAAGGGTATACTATATATCAAAGCTATTTTCGGTCAATGCCGATATATAGCTCGTCTTGTTTTAGAGGTTAAATTAAATTATGTTTCAGGATAAATAAAATACTTGAAATATGAGCGATGTTTGGGCTCGGGTCGAAAACGCAAAGAGGTCTCGGCAAGCCTCGCTCTTTTTCACATTTTCTTGCCCTCGCCCAAATATCGCTTATATTTCCAAATAGTAACCATGTATTTTGTATATGCTATTTATATGCTATGTTCTTAACAAATAAAATATCTTTCCATGTTTCTATTGCTTACATTAGAAGGTATATCCGCTATGTTAGTTGATATCAGCTGCAAACACTGTGCTCAAAGAATTAGAAGTAATAACTTTTAGGGAATCAGACACAAGAGACCGTGCAATTAGGTCCATAGTTGTTTGAAATCATTGTCTTTGTTGTTTTATCACAAGAGCTTGCATGATTTTGGTTAACATCTATAGAATAGTCAACAACGTACTAGGGAAGTGTTGCTTGATTAATAACGCACTCGTAATCATAACGTTTTAAAATGGTTAAAAGGTACGCCAGGCGATGGGCTAGACATTAAAAAATAAGACCTTGACACTTTGTCAGAATGGATTAAATGTATCAGATGTATGTAAAACTCTCGCATTAAGCGATTTAGGGGCAATATGAAAATTATCTTTCCTTATGTGTTCAATAATTCAGAAAAGAAAAAAAAAAGAATTAGATAGACTACACGATCAGTATGTACTGGCCCCAGCTGACAAAGCAGGTAAAAACATTGTTTTTGTTTGTAAGGCTCATTATCTTAATTGTATTTTAGAAGGATTTAATTCTGCAAGTGGCAATCCAACTTACACCCATAGCCGACTTTCTAAGGAGGAAATTCTTCAAAATCATATGTCATTTTGGAACATTTTTAATATCCCCAATTACCAAAATGAATTTGAATTACGAATTTTATACTGGATTCCGAAACATCCTTACAAACAAAGATACATAGTGGGTTCCAGTAAATGTTCTACCAAGCCTCTTTCTTTACTTCGCTAAAAATATTAACATCAGTGAAGGAGAAACTTCAGGGGTACTGTGCAACAATATATTCGAGAAGTGGTGTAAATCAGATGTGGATACTTAAAAATTTCAAAGAACTTTTAGAAAATTTTGAGGTCCGTGTTTGCTCTCCTCCAAATTTCGACTTTCGAGATTGAATACTGTTTGATATCTTCATATTTCATGCTGACTGACGTTTTTCATACTAATCGTTAGGCCATTATTTACACACTGAATTGTCGACGGATATTTCCGTTATTTACCCATCATGACAAAGAGCATACGGCGGGTGTGACCGGTCGGCAGGGGATGATCACCTCTGCATGGTACCTGATCCCACCTCTGTTTTTGGAGGTCCGTGTTTGCTCTGCTCCCGATTTGTATTGCATTAATGGATTTTGAGCTTGAATACTATTCGTTATCTCCATATTTCATTTTATATTTACTAATTGATTAATTGATTATTATTGTTTAACGCCGAGTCGGCAATATTTCAGCCATATTTCAGCGAGATATATTTACTAATTAAATTTAAATACAGAAAATATATATATCATGTACATAATATAACTATAACAAGCATTTTATATGCAAATGAAGTGAATGAATCTCGTTCATATTTTAACATTGAAAACATTCAGGAAGTATATCGATTTCCGTCCTTATCTTTAACTCAGATGTTAAGTATTTGACTATTTATCGCAATTTATGTGAAAAGCAGCATGAGCAAATTTGAAATGCTAGTACCTATGTCTTTTTGCTTTCAAAGAAAACTGATTTGTCATGGCTTCAGAAAATGTAACTCAACTGATAGAAAAGAAAGTATTGACCGGTGTTCTGCTGGGAACATGGAATAACGATGATTTAAGAGAAGATGATGACGACAATGGTGAGAAATTTTTTGTGAATTCATTTACTGAAGTGAAAAATCATGAACAAGCACATGACAATCATACAAGGAATCTTGCAGATGAAAAGGTTCCTCATGACTGCTCAAAAACAAGTTCAAAAGAAAGCACAGTGGTGTCAAATACAGAAAATGACAAAGATTCTCGAATTATTCTTGAATTCTCAGTTTCTTCAGAGCTAGATCATAAAAAAGAAGATGAAAAAGGAATTTCTGTTGAAGGGGAAAACGATAGAAACATCGATGAAGTTGACTATTTTGATAGTGACGAGGAATACATGGAAACACATGGCCAAAGATACGACAAGGAACACGTTCTAGACGTTTTTGAAGAATATAATAGCAAATCTTTAAAAGACAGATATAGTCAGTATATTTTTTTTTCAAATGTATTAAAAGATGTATTCAGATATCAACAGAATTGGCCTATAAGAGAGTACAATTTTACGGGAAAAGTCACATTTAAAAAAATCAATGTTCATGAGTTATTTCTAGTGTAAATTGGTGTACATTTTTCTAATAAGCATTTTGAACCTAAAATTTATTATTTGCAACTTTAAAATTAACATCCAACGTTGGCTAAAACAGCATTTTCTCCGTTAAAGCACAATTTTTACGTGCATTTTGGCCTTGAAGCCCTTCAGGGCAGGCCTGCCCATAAATAAAATTACATTACGGAATTTTGATAGGTTGTGATCTAAGGAATAACTTATGGTAGAATTTTTAAGGGCACTCCTAACCTAGGGTCAAAATTCAGACAACCTTTGAAAAATAAGCATTCTGTGAAAGGTCTCATCCGAAGGACCCGCAACTTTCACTTCAAAGTGCCGAGCGCATGGCGAAGGAACAGTTGCTAGCCATTTTTTTTATCGACTTAGGTCTGTCGCGGCCGAGATTCGAACTCACGACCTACCGATCACGGAGCGAGCGT